CGCATTTTCGTGTCAATCAACTAAAGGCTTGAACTTTTATTCAACATATTTATAGTTCATTATGTTCTATATCATGCGTGTAGTTCCGACACAAAAGCGATTAATCAGTTGGGTGTCTTCCGTTGTTAGACATGCACGAGATCAATCGTTTTTTTATCTTGATCCCATTTGATCTATATCTAGCTAAATTTCGCGATATATTTAGCTAGAAAAAAAAAATAACTATGAAATAGATCTTTATAAGTTCGGTATATCAAAAACTAATTTAACAAAAAAACAATTTGTCATTTTGATTATTATAAGAATATTAGATGAAAATTAAATATTGATATTCTTACTTCGGATTCAACAGTTGATCTTCTTTTTCCATGACGATCAAAATGTTCATATGATGTTTCACGTAAAGCAGTTTCTAAATTTCTAAATGGATGATTTTCTCGTGTTGGATGTAATCGTTCATTAGTATTAAATCTATTTGCTTGTTGTGCAAGACGTTCAAGAATTTGACGATCATCACGATTTTTTATATTTGTTGTTTGTTGTTGTTGTTGTGATGATAAATTCTGATGATTAACTAGAAAAATAATTATATCTTATTAAATATTATTCTTATATCATTTTATTAATAAATGAATATTAATCGATTTGTTTATTTCTTACTTGGTCGTGGTCGATGAAATGTAGGTGTTATATTTGTATGTTGAGAATGATTATAATTTGAATTTAAAGATGGTAATCTATCAAAATCAATACTATTAAAAAGATCCATTGAAAGAACTGATGGTTTTGATAATGATGATTCTTGATTTTGTAATGAATTATCAAATAAATTCGGTGAAAGACGCATTTGTAATTCAACACTAGGTGGTTGTTGAGGTGTTTCAATTTTTGGATGTACTGTAAGAAATGAATTAACATTAGTATTCATTAAAGATTCAAGAAGAGCATCGGTATTTTCAGAAATATTTGATTGAAGAATCTATAAAAATTGAAAAACAAAAGAATATTTTTTAATAATTTAATAAAAAAGAAATTATGGTTTTTTTTGGTTTTGTTTTACTTCTTCATTATCATCATTATTATTATTATCATCATTTTGATCGTCATTATCAAAATTAACACTTGGTAATTGTGATTGAACTTCAGAAAAAATTTGTTGAATTCGTGCCGATGTATTCATTGGATGTGATGGAGTTTGTTCTTCTTTTACAGGTGGCATTTCGTTTTCTGCGTAATTTGATTGTATTTGAACTCAGATGCACTTTGAAATAGTCGAAACAATCTTTATTATATTATCAGTTTTATTCGCCATTCTCAATCTTTTAACTATAGTAACAACCACAAAACATTGCTTTATACTACTATAAATCCATATGCTTCTTCAACAATATAAAAGATTAATTCAAAAGTATTTTATTGATTTTCAATAAATTTCAAATTAGTTTTAGTTAGTTGAAGAAATTTTTATTGCTTGTGTGAGGTCGCTAGCAGCAGAGTCATACTTTGTATCAAAAGCTAGTTTGAATTTTAATGCTGAGATTACACTAGAAAATAGACAATAGAAGTGAAAATTACTATTCGTATAGGATATTTTATTGACTATTTTCAAAACATATTACATAATTTTTCTATCTGGTAGAAGAATTTAACCTGTTGATTTCTGTAATTTCGCTAATAAGATTTTCACAAATTTAACTGTAAATTAGATATGTTTTAAAAAAAAAATCCTATCGACTTCATTGATAAGTGTAAGTTATGATATATATATATGTATTCTAACACTATCAGCTTCAATCGTCATATATATCCTCTATTAATATTCTTAAACTGCTTCAAAGATGGGATCGAAATGTGGCAATTTACTAAGATTTATCTGTTACTTTTCTTTTCAGTATATATACTTTTTCGAAAACTCTTTCATTGGTAGATAGAAGATACATTGTTATCATACTTGTAATCCAAAAATCAGCTTTTGACAATGTAAAATGAATGAAATCTAGCAAAAATAAAACGAAGATTTTCAATTTGTCATCCGAACTATGTTAGGAGGCTGTATTTGAGATCGGATTATTATGATTGATTATTTAATCATAGAGAATTAATTCATTTTTTTTTCTCTTTCTTACAAAACCTTGACTATTATATTTTTCTTAGTAAGCATGATTCAATTTTTGCAAATAAGTATAGAAAATAGAAACATTGTTTTATATTCTGTTCTCTTTTCTAGACAATCTTATATTGATTTTTGAGTTTTGTTTTTTCTCAATTCTTATCGGTTAGAATCTAATCAACTCGATGAAATCGAATAATTCAATTAAAATTCATTATGAACATATATTAATAATTTGTTTTTGGATGTATCATTGTTTATGTATTGTAAACATAAATTGTTATTCTTTGTTCTTAACCTATTTCTGTTCAATTAAATAAAATAAACTATATTTGAAATAAAATCAAAATTTAGAATTCATAGAAAGAAATAAACATAATAAGTTGAATTTATTTATAGAATAAGATTCTGTATCAATATCATCTCATATTGAATATGATTTTATTATAAAGATCTAATCACTTGTTGTCGTTTGCTCTCATTGTTTTCAATGAAAATTATCTAAGACATATGAGAAAGGACGCAATAAGACATTTACTCTATAGCTAACATTCGGTGTTGATATACCTAAAAAGTGATACAGGATGCGTAAGAATATTTTTCCAGGGAGGAGAATAACGCTGGAATTTCAAACAAAATCGACAACAAATTTTATATCGAGCTAAAGCGTGTCGAAAATGGAACTCATCAAGATTAAATAGTGAGCGTTAGAACAACTTCTCTATATTCTGAGAATGTTCAGAGTCGTCTATCGTTGTATATTATTGAAACTTTTGACTTTGAATTATTTCTTGAGTAATATTTTAAATATTATCGAAGACTTGAATTCTCATAAAATACATTTTGTATTTGCTTCAAGTAAATTGAGGTTTTCTACAAGTATACACTAAATAGTATTAATACCAAATGATCTCAGATATGCAACATGAATACTTCGGTTTATTTTAATGCGTACATCTTATATCCAATAAATGGAAATTATTTCATATATGATAACTCGACATAGGTACACACCAACGATATGAGAGAACAAGTCAGCGTAGACACGAATACAGCTGTGATTGTTCATCTCGATGAACTTCTATAGAAAAATAATATCATTCAAAGTCAGGACAAATTGAAAAACTAGTTGAGAAAATATGTAAAGTTGGTATAGTAAATATAAAGACAATGGTAGGTAGCATCATCTATCGTGGTGTATATTGTACGTGGATAATCTAATGAACATGGACAAAATGCATCGAATGATAAGTAATATATTTATGCTTCACTTTCATTTTAAGTAATAACAGGAAGACTATATAAAGAAAAAACTACTTAAAATTGATTTCTTTTTCGTTAATAATCGAAGTGCAGACAAATTTTTTTCTCAATATACTTCATTCTACAGAGCTGTATTTTTTTTAATCGATGGATATATGCATAGTTCTTTAGATAAGGGAAATGAATTTTATAATTAATCATCAATGCTAAATAAACTCGTAGTTTTTCAGAAAATCATGTCTAGAAATTGTACACTTTTGAAGTTTCGATTATCCGAAACAAAAAAAGAAAACTTTCGCTCATTCAAAGTGTTTAGGAGTTTTTTTTTCAAATGAAAGTAACTCGAGCTCTGCAGCTTGGATCTTGGAAATATCCTGGACGGTAAGATATGGACGTATGAAATTCTTGTTTTATTCATATACTTCCATGAGCCGAATATCGATACAAAGTTTTATTAATATTTCAAGTATCCTGTCGAAGTTAGACTCTTGAGGGCGGGAAGTCTTAAATAAATTTTGACTAGATTATTAAATGATAGCAACAATTAAAAAGTGAAAAAAATAGTATTCATTCACTCCATGTTATAATATATATGTTGCGTCATTCTTAAATGTGTAGGATGAATCATCAATCAAATTATGAAATGAGAACAAATGACAAAAACATAAAAGTTGCTGACATAGATTGATGCATAATTTTAAATGTATAACATTAACTTACATATGAAACTTATATTATTTGAACTGACATATTTTTGGTGAGTCATGCATGAACTTTGATTTTCGTTCTATATTAAAAACGTTTATTCCTATATGTTGTTTTAATCCACATATTTTTATCATTGTATGCAAGAAATGTTTAGAATGTATATGTCAGATGAATGCTATAGACATTTTCTTCATTTCAGTAATATAATATTACTCTTTCGTATATGATATATTACATCTTTTATTCGTAGTTTTATTGATCGTAGAATTAAATTTTCAAATAAGTCATGACTAATTTGTCTAAGAAATTTCTAAGTTAACTTTTATTATTTATCTTGATCGAAATTATGTTTAACAATAAGTTTATATTTATTTGCGTTAAAAATCTAAAAATATATATGCAAATATGAGACTATAAAAGATTATCAATTAAATTAATTGACTAAGTCTATCATAAATATTCCATCGAAAAAACTTCAAACTAATATACTTATAAGTTTATTCTTCGTAATACCATTATACTGTTATATGGTAAGCTTTCGAAACCAATCAAACATAAATTAAAACAAATCGTGGCTTATTTCGTTTTTTTTTTCACCTATATAACGGCTACGTAGTACTTGTAGTATTTCTTATCAATAATAATCTGTACTCTATTATTGAATGACGCCATTTTTCTTTTATAATATGTTTATCGAATATGTATATAAGAAGTTAGGTTTTCTGTCAATAGATTTATTTTACGTTTTTTTGAAGAAAAGAAAAGAGAAGTACATTTAACTAGCAAGTACTAACGACAAATAACTAATTAAAACTTTTTTTTTTTTCTAATATTCATTTTCTCTTGATATTATCTATTTGTCTATAAAATAGATATAATAAGAAAATTGTAATGAAATATTAAGTAATGAACTTTTTAGATGTATCTCGGTTGGATTGATTATGGAATGTTAATTTTACTTTTGGGTTAGTTAATAAGTATAATTTCATTTTTATTTTTTATTTATTTATAATAATTTTAGGTTTTTCGGTGAGTATTGGTATTTATCAAGGTTGTTTTCGATCGAAACAATTGACTACAAATGAATTTCTTATTGCTGATGGAAGAATGATGGTAATTAGAATTGTAACATTAATTTTATATAGATATTTTGTTTTTTTTTCAAAAAGATTTTACCAACTGCAATGAGTCTATTAGCAAGTCTTATGTCTGCAGCAACTCTACTTGGAATTCCAATTGAAATTTATTCATATGGAACAATGTATATGTATTGGAGTTAGTTTCTTATTTAATGTAAAGTTTAAAAACATCAATGTTTATATTTTATAGTTTTTGCTTATTTTATTGGTACTTATTTAACAGTAAATCTATTTATTCCAATGTTTCGTCAAATAGGAAATTTAAGTATCTATGCAGTATGTTATTAGATATAATTCTTCAAAAAGAAAAATTTTCTATTATTTTAGTATCTTGAACAACGTTTTTCATTAACAATTCGTATTGTTATAACACTTAGTTATATGATAGTAACGGTTAGTAGTAGTAGTAGTAATACAAAAAATAATAACTTTGTGTGTAATATTTGTAAACGAAATTTTTGTTAAGATTTTTTATATAGCTGTTATTTTATATGGACCCTGTTTAGCATTAAGTCAGGTAACTGGTTTACATATATGGTTAACAGTTGGATCATGTGGAATTATATGTACACTTTATACAAGTATTGTATGTAATTGAATATTAAAATATGTAAATATTGAATTGATTAAATTATGAAGGGCGGAATGAAAGCAGTTATATGGACTGATGTTATACAAACAATAATGATGTTTCTTGGTGTTATTTTATCAGTTATTATTGGTATGATGAATATGTTCTTGTTTCTGAAATTAGGTTGTTTTGTTTTTGCGTACTGCTTTATAGGATTTTATGATGCTGGTGGAATAAAAAGTGTATTTAAAAGTGCAATGGACGGAAATCGAATTCAATTTTCAACGTATGTAATTCAAAGAGATCATAGATGTTCATCATGGCTCAAAATCTGCCGCGGCAGAGACGCCATAGAGATCTCTTTCAAAGATGTTGAATCTTTTTTTTTTCTTTTGTTTTGTAATTAATTACTAGAACTACATTGGATCCATCAATTCGATATACTGTTTGGAGTGTAATTATTGGTGGTGGTTTATATGCTACAGCTATATATTCTTGTTTACAAACTCAAGCACAACGTTATTTATGTGTAAAAAGTATAAGAGCTGCACAAAAGTATTTATTTTTTGATAAAAAGAAAATTGATTAAATTTTTTTAAAATTAATCTTAGAGTTGCTTGGATAAATTTTTTAATGTGTACAATGATGCTTTTTCTTTGTGCATCTGTTGGATGTCTTCTATATGCAAAATATAATCAATGTGATCCTCTTCAAGCTAAATTAATATCTAAACCTGATCAAGTAAAAAAATTTTTTTTTTATAATATTTATCATTAATATTCTATTGAAAAAAAAAATTGTTTTTTTTTTTGTTATCTTTAGCTTTATCCATTATTTATTATTGAAACATTAGGTCGATTTCCGGGTTTAACAGGTTTATTTATTGCTTCTGTTTTAAGTGCTTCATTAAGTACAGTATCTAGTGGAATAAATAGTATAACAACTGTTTTTCTCGAAGATATTTATAAAAGAATATCAATTGGAAATTTAATGTCAGATGAAAAACAAGCTTCTATTTCAAAAATATTATGTAAATATCAAAAAATATTTCAGAAAAAAAAAATATTTATTTGCATTTTTTGGTTTTCTCTAGCATTATTTATTGGTTTTCTTGTAGTATTTTTAGCATATGCTACATCTTTTTTAGGAAATAATATTATAGTGGTAATTCATTTTATTGATTTTTAAAAATTTTTTTATGTTATATTTAAAATAGATAGTTTTTCAAATATCTGGTTCATTTGCAGCACCAATTTTAGGAGTTTTTCTAATTGGATTTTTTATACCAAGAGTAAATAGTCGAGTATAATTATACTGAATTTATTCTATAGAATTTATTGAATTTAGTATAAAATTTTTTAGAGTATTCTTATTGCTTTTATATGTTGTTTATTATTTCAAACATGGGTACTTATTGGTGCTACTTTAACAATGAAATCACAAATAGGAAAAGGTGGACGATTACCTACATCCGTTAAAGGATGTTTGTCATCGTTAAATATTACACAAGTAATACCAAAAAATCAAAGGTAATTTTCTTTTGTAGATAAGATTAATTAAATTTATTTAAGTAATTATATAGTTCAAATCCTCTGCTACCACTTTATTCAATATCTGTAATGTGGTATTCTTTTAATGCTATTATTATTATTGTTGTTATTAGTTTGTTAGGATCATTTATATTTGGTAAATATTCTTTATTTTTTGAATCACTGAATATTAATGTTTCGTATATGGTATAGGTTCTAATGATCCGAAAACGATAGATGAATCATTATTGATATCATGGAAAAATGCATTTTCATGTAATTGGAAACATAAAGTATTTCTTATTGTTTGTTTTTTTGTAATTGATCATAGTTTTGTTTTCTATAAATTTTTTAGAAATCCACAAACTTAAAAACTAATGAAGTCAATACAATTGAAACACAAACAATTGAACAAGAATCAATTCTTTAGAATTTTTCTTTTTTTTTATAAAAATAAAACGTCTACGTATAAAAGATATTATATGATTAAATAAAAAGGAAAATTTCGAAAGTATAATATTATTATGAAAATATGTATGTATAGCGATATACTGGATAGGCTATAAATAGCACTATGATAGACACGTATTTAACGTTTCTTTTTCATATGGATAGCATAAGCGAATACTAAAGTTATATTTTTGGTCTTGCTAAAAAAATTTCGCCTCTTGTCAAGTAAGAAAAATACATATGAAGTGTTTCATAGATAAATTCTAATTATTATCTAAGAAAAAAATAAAAAAAACTCTATATTACTGCACGCAAAGCAAATTTTCAAGACTAGTTATTTTAAAGGTTAACGATTACAAAATTTCGAATTTTCAAATATAGAACACTAATTTGCTCGATGTGTAGCAGTATCGTATCATTTATAAAATTCGTTTTAATTATTTCTTGTTATTCTCTTAGATGACAACTGGAAATGATCTATGAAACACTTCATATCTTTACTTCCTACTTGACAATAGATAAAATTTCTTTAGTGAAATCAAATATATAACTTAACAGTAGTATTTGTTTACATTATCCATATGGAAAAAAGAACTTTAAATAATCTTCTACCACTAACCAAAAAAACTGCTAATACAATTCTTGTAAGATTAATATATATAATGCGATGCAACTGTTATTACAAATCACAGAAGATTGTTTTATTTTATCTATTTGAGAATACAGTTCTTCATTATCGTTTTACTCAATCTACCAGAAATGAAATAAGGAAATAGTTCATATATCAGAACAAGATATTATTCATATACAGACTTTGATCATATATCAACAACATCTGTCATGGCCTGTGACAGAGAGACAGGATGTTACTCAAATATTTGTCAAGGCCTATGATGGTCTCGACTAGTGTCTGTCATAGCTTTTAGATTGTGTTTCAAAAAATTAGCCCATTCGAACGAATCGAAGCGGAAAAATTTCAATTTCTTATCGTAGTGCTATTTATGGTTTACCCTGTATAAATCAATTGAAAATAGATTTTTAAAATAATTTTTTGAACTATTTGTATGATAGTTTTATGTTTAGATCGCATATAACTCAAATACTTTTGAATACTTCCTGTTTTAGTACGACAGCCTATCTAGATAACTATAGTACTGAAATATTGAATGTATTTTAGTCTATATTGTTCTTCACATAACTTTTAAACGGTTGAATGAGAATACATAATCGATATCCTTATTTTATTCGTTGCCATCTATTCTACATTCTTTTATTGTATCTGAAGTATTTCTTCATTGTTCTATTCAATATGCCAAAAATTTCAAAGAAAAGTCTTACAACTTAAAATATATCTTAGATTTTTATTTTAATATTCTATTAGTTCGTAGGAAAAAGACATGTTTATTGAAGAAAGTACAATTGAATATATAAAATACGATGTCGACCAAATGTTTTTATAGGATCATTCGAGAAAATAAAACATATCAGAATAGTAATGTACTCATTCTTCGGATGATCGAGTTAATTATATGAACGAATGAGATGCTTCTTAGTAGTCAATTAATAAATCAATATTAAACCATTTTTGGTGCAAATCCGAATATATTACTTCGTTGAGAATGATCTTCTCATGAACATATCTTCAACTGATGATAGTTCTATTGTAGATTAATTGTAAACGTTAATATATTTTACAATACAATTCATGTAGAAACGAGTATAAATTGACAAATTTATTAATTTCTTATAAATTCAAAAGAAAAATTTATTAAGCACATATATTCAATAATTCATGTCCTTTCCATCGTTGTAAAGTTTTTGTTTGCGATGAAATAATTTCTTCTGAAAAAGTCATTGTTAAACGATGATTAGTTTTTTTAATATCTAGATGAATATCTATTGAACTATTATAATGTTTAATTGTATTTAATGTTTGTCTTGATTTTTGATTAAAATCTTCATTATCATTAAAAATAAGTGAATCACAACTAACATTAAATAATGAAAGATTCGATTGAGCTGTTTCCATTAATAATAAAAATCCATCATTGTCATAAATAAGATTTTCTTCATTATTATTATGAATATTTGTCATAGATGCAAATAAAGAACACTGGCTAGGGAAATTCTACACAAAAAAAAATTTAATTGTTAATATGATCAACTAATGTTTGCGTCAGAATTGAAGATGAATGGATGTAGGCTGAATAACTCGACAACGGTAACAATTAGGGACTTGTGGTTTTCGAAAGTCCAAAGAGGAGAATTCCGGACATCTTTTTGTCTGATATTATATGAGACAAAATTATTTTACAACCCATCATCTTCGTAAAACATTCAACGGTGTTTCGTTTCAGAGAAATATTAATAAAATATTAGAAAATTTGGTGAAAATCGAAAGAATTCTATATAATTTGACTGAATATATATGCGATTCTGTTTGCTCACGAGGTAACTACCCCCAAATGACATCCTTAGTTTGAGCTCATATTGGATCCACACGTAGATCCCAGTGAGACTAGCAAAAGCCTAGAAATGTTCGTTCTCATCGGCCTTTGTCTCCGTTTACTGAATTTTCGATTTATTTGTAGATAGTTTCCAAAAAATTAAATAATAGAATTTCGATATAAAATTTTGCGTATAGATCGGTTTAATGAAATGACCCTTAGTCAAAACTATACAGAAACAAAACACTATTTTCATACATTTTTAAAAAAATGCTTTTGCGAAGATGACAGATTTTATAAATAATTTTATCTTATATAGTATCAAACAAATAAGATATCCGGCGTTTTCCCCTTTCGATTGCTGAAAATCGCAGATCGTCTACTGTTGCCATTGTCGACACATTAAGGTTACACTGACCCCTCTTGAATTCTAGCGCGAACATTAAATAGGAATAAATACCTGTGAAAAATGATCTTCTCTATGAGATAATTCTATTAGAGAAAAAAAATATAATCAAGAAATGTTTGTTTTTCTTTTTTCTATTGATAAGTCTTACTTTTTTTAAAAAAATCTGGTAAATATTGTAAAAACAAATGAACAATACGTGATGTGTCCATCATAAAATATAGAAATGTTCTTTCTGCTATCAATCGATCATTCTCTCTTTCTCAGATTTCTTTTTTTTTTTTTTTGTTCTTTCTCACTCGCTTTTCTGTTTTGCCTATTTTAACCAATCAATAATTTAATACTGAAAGATGATCTATTGTTATAATGTAAGTCATGGCATATTCTCACAGTAGGATAGCATCTATCATCAACTTTGAATTTTCTCATTTCCGCTTTATCACAATAGAACGAATTAACAAATGAAAGAAAGTTCATCTATTACATCTGTTCAAAAATTAGATATGTGAATTAAATCACAAAAAAAAAAAAAGAAAGAAATATGTTCACATTGTGTTATTATTTTAAGAAATCATTTATTGAGAAGATGATAATACTTCTGATTGATCATTTTCATTTAAATTATCTAAATATGGACGTAAAATAATAAGTTGATAAATCCATTGTTTTAATGGATTACAAGTTGTTAAACAAATAATAAATGGTAATAAAATACAACGTATATTGTATATAAATAACATCATTTGCAAGTAATTAACTTGAGTACTTGTATTATTATTGTTCTCATTAGTAACAATAAAATGTAAACCTAGTAAAACAAATTCAAATAAAATAACACATGATGAAAGTGAGATATAAAATTTTGTATTAACACTTAAACGAGATAATGTATGTTGTTGTAAAAAAGGTAAACAATATTGATATATAATAATAGATAATAAAATAAGACTAATTATTATTAATATACCATATTCAAACCAATATTGTATTGTATAAAATGATAAAATTTTTGCATATATTCCAACATTTAATGAACGATAACAATATTGAAAATTAAGTTTATCTGTTTGATTATTAATATCAATCTGATCGTCTTGTGAAATAATATTATTATTTAATATAGATGAATTTTTTTTAATAAATTTTAAAATTTCATATAATCTTATTGAAAAAATCAAACTCATACCAATAAATATTAATAATAAATAAAATTTTTTAAAATATAATCGATAATTATTTGTTGATGAAATACAATTTAATAAATTTTTTGATAATATTCTTTCAATACTAAATAATAATGTTAAATAAAGTTCTATTGGTTTAGCTAATGTTGATATATAAACCAAAAAACGACATGTATGAAATGATAAATTTGGTTCACCTGAACCACTTAACATATATGCTTGAATATAAAGACAAAACATATTTGTTAAACAAATAAAACAAATAATAAAAAAATGCGATGTACGATTTGTATGAAGTGATGATGGAGCAAAGAGAAATAATATTGGAAGAATTAAAGAGAATATTATTCCAATTGACCATGTACAAAAATAATTATAAAAAAAAATTATTGAATCAAATCGATCGATTGAATTATAAGCAGTATAATAAGATTTCTAAATGACAACAATAAGAGAAAAAAAAAAAAAAGCATATAAAAATATTTTCCAAATTTTTCATTTGAACTTACTCCTGCTCTCCAATCCATAGTGTAACTTATGATGTATATAGGTAGTTCTTGCTTTTTTTTTATATATTTCGTTTGAAAATAAATCAAAAGAAATAGATAAGAACATTGTGATTATTTTAATTGAAAAGAAATTTGAGATAGTTGTATAATGTGAGTCATGTACAATGATATTTAAACTTAATTATTTTCATAAGAGTAATTTGAGGAATACAAAAGATGAATTTACATGATATATAACCTAGTAAGATTTGCTATTTTTTAACAATTGTTCTTTTTTTTTTAGCTTCTATCTTGTAAATGTGAATCTTGATATAAATGTATTTTTGTATTAGAAAGAAAAAAGAACTTTCATTGAAGATCAATATTGATTATTTAATGATTAAGAAATATAGATAAAAGATAATAATGAAGGATTTTTGTTTGTTGTATGAATAGTGAAGTATTGATGTTATCACATCCTTTTTTTTTCAATTAATTTACAAGATAACATTTCTAAATGTCAAATCGCTTTTGAGTCGGAACTAAGTGCATCATGTAGGTTCTAATAAGTTATTCATATGTTGAAAAGAGTTTGGACTAATAATTTGTTACCGCCAAGATATTGTATTTTTATCGTATTTTTTAGCAGTGCCGCGATCTCTCGAAGGAACATTAGGAAAACTGAGCGTCGAATGTTGATTTGAAACTTTGCATAGAGGCAGACCTTAATGTGAATAGTTTATTGTAAAAGTTTTAGATCTTTTGATTACTGTTATCCTAAGATACGACTATGATAAAAGCATGTTTTTCATGTCACTCACATACAACGGCAAATTCTAATGTTCTTATTTAAGAATGGATGCCATTGAAAAATCTGAAACTTGCGCAATACGCTATTCTCGTTAAGATCTGTCTCTGTGCAAAATTTCAAGTCGAAATTCAAAATTCAGTTTGTCTGGCGTTTTTTAAGAGGGACCACGTCATTCTGCTAAAAATAGAATATCTCGGCAGCAATAAGCTATTAGCTCGAACTCTTTTCGTTGTATTCATAGTTCATGAGAATCTACATGATACATATAGTTCCGACTCAAAAATGGCGGGATACTTAGAAACATTCCCTCGTTAGTTTATTCAATTGAATGGATGGAAAAAGTATCGAAAGAAAAAATGTCGAAAAGAGAAATTAAATATACTCAAAGTTTGATTGATACATTCTCGAAGAACATGGCTGTGAGTTTGAGAGTAACGCTGATAATTTTCTAGTCACCTGCACACTCAGAATATGAATGTTTCAACTATCATTAGCTGGAACAAGTTAACATAGCACTACATGAAAATTAATAAACCATTCGTATAAAGAATCATGTAATTTGACTATAAACTACTATAATATTTTATATCATACTACTACTATTATTCGAATTTAGTAATAATAAATATAAAAATCTCTTAAAGTCCACAGATATTTTCTAATATGGGATAAAATTAGTCATAACTATGTTTGATATCTTCTACCTAGCATTGAATTTCATAAAGTAGATCTTCAATATTTCTTTTCTAGGATCATATGAGTTCTTTCAATGAAAAAATATCAGTCAAATATGACTCATAATTCAACGTTCTGAATGATAAGTTTTTAAAAAAATTATTATAATGACTGTATGAATGATGTTATGTTGTTAGGTGAAGTATATTCATCGTTAATATTCGTCGAAATTGATTTTGTCTTTCTTCTATTAAATATTTAGTTATAATTGGCCCAGGTCATGACAAGTCACAGTTTAAATGAAAAAAGCATGACAAAAAGAAACGATATAAATAACTAGTATCATAAGACATAATGACTACAAGAAGAAAAAAACAAAACTAGGATTTTAACACGATGGTTTGTCATAATATTTCCGTATCTGAGGTTCGTCCTGGTGATCATTTGTATCGATGGCACCATCTAAAATTATTACAAGGCATCGCTGTTCAACTTGATGATGATGTGTCAGAAATATTCGTTGTTGTGTTAGACAAATTAAATAATTTTGATTTGGTAACATTAAATGATTTTAAGGGAAAAGGAGTACTGAGACGAGTACTATATGATCAAGGTGATAGTCATTTACATCGAATCAAATTGCATGGAACTAGTTATATTGAGAAGAGAAGACCAGCTAAAGAAATTGTACAAAATGCTCTTCTTCTAATTCATACAGCAGATACAAATCCTCAATATTTACAAAAAATTTTTGTTAAAGATTTTAATGATTTTGCTAAATTATGTTGTACAATTAATCATGATCGTTGGTGTAATATTCTACTAGGAGATGGTAGGAAAAATTGAACTTAATAACATCATGAAAATTCAATGCTAAATTTTTATTTTGTTTTTTATAGACAGCAATGTACTTTCAATTAAAAAATCAGAAGAAGAAGTTAAATTTATTGTAATTATGTCAGACGATAATAATTAAATGAAAGAATTGGAAGACAAGATCAAATAAATACTTGAAGATCAAACGATATTATATTTCTTTGTGGACATCTCGCATGTTTTCAATGTTCTCAAATATTGAATTATTGTCATATTTGTCAAAATAAGATCGATCAGAAAATTAGAATCTTTCGGTCTTCATGAAGTTTTGTTTTTTGTTATAACGTAATATGTTTTCTTTTGACACGATATTCTATATAATAAAGTTAGTAATTGATAAAAAATATTTCAGCATATATAATCTTCTATTAATTTATAAATAGAATTAAAGTAAGCGTCTTTATAATGAAGATACAAGATAAATCAAGTTTACATTGTTCACGAACCAATGATGTATCATATTACTGAATGATCACGTCTTCATATGCATTACGAAATAATTTCATATCATATGCATTGTATCTTTATTTATTTTATTAGTAAACTAACCATGAATATGAGTCATTTCTTTGTGTATTTCTTCATCGTGTGATAATCGGAAGATTATTTCCCTTGTTTTTAATGTACATAGGTCATGAATATAAATTTCAAATTACGAAAGTCTATCATAATAGCGGAGTCATGAGGTGACTAACGAAAAAGTCCATTTACGTGTTAAATTGTTTTTTGACTAATACAATATTCATTGAATGAGTAATAGAAAAGTCTAGATTGGTTTGACTTTTTCGAGTTTTTTGTTCGTGAGATATCGAAATTTGACTGGGTTTTTCAGCAAAAAGCTGTAGTTTCCATTAGATCACATAGAAAATCAGCTTTCGAATTTTGACTTCAAACTTTGCATGAACAAAGTTCTCAATGAGATTAGTTCATTGTACAAGTTCTAACTTTTCTCGCATCTCCTATCCTGAGATATTCAATATTTAAAATTCTCTCTTGTGTATAAAAGTAAATTTCATTCATATAATTATTTATATCTCCGAAAAGCTAACACATCTAAAACCAAATGTATATGTTATAATAAATTCCTTAAACGAAGAAAACAAAAAAGAAAATACAAATTGTACACTATTTAATTAAGTTTTTTACTCTAGTAAATTGTGCACTGATATAAGTTTGTTCTAAACCAGACTAAAGAATAAATCGAATAAGTAAAATTTGATTAAGATGTTTTAATTGTATCTAAATTTTGAATATTTTTTATTTTATGTAATAAAATTTTTAATCCATTGCAAAAAATATTAGTGAAGGTGTCTTGTATACAATAAAAACATCTTCATGGTATTTGACAGCTCATTGATTACAGATTTCGTCGAATAATGACGTCAAATGTATTGTTTTTTTTTGAGAAAGTATTGAATAGCCTATATACATCAAAAGAAAGTACTGAGATTCATGAGTCCTATTAGTATTCTATATTAAGGGTCTAACTATCTTTAGGATAACAAATGGTTCTACGATTCAAATTTTATTGCTTTCATTTTTTGATTGAACAATTCGATAGATTAACTATCGGATTCGAGATTGAAAGATTTTCTTTTTCTTCTTTAATATCTATACATAGTATTTGTATCAAATGATCTTGTAACTTATATTGGCAGTACACAGCCCAACAAAAACAATCTAATAAATATTGTGAATAAATAAGGTGAGAAAAAAAGATTTAACAACAACGCATTTTTTATTCGTTTTCTATAATTTTAAACAGTTAGCTCATATCCAAATAATGATTTTAATAGTTAATAGAGTTTTCTATCTAATACATTCTATAGCAAGATTTCATATAGATAAATTATGATAACAAAGGTTTTAAAAACCTGGACACAGCACGTGATATTTTCAAATTTTTAAGATAATTTCATAGAGAATGAGGCGATCTCTCATTTTATTTACAATGTATTAGATAGAAATCTTCATTGCCTATTAAAATCATTATCTGAATTTGAATTAATTGACTAAGATTATAGAAAAAATCAAAAATATGTTGGTATTAAACTTTTTTCCACCAACTTATATATGATAGATTTTTTTAATTAAAATTTATTTTTTTTTGATTCACATTTATTTCATCTTTGATCAGGTAGAATAACAACAAGAATGATATTTTTAATTGTACGATCAATATAAATATAACATAAAGTAAAAATCTTACACAATGAAATTAATATTATTGCTTTGGTTTTTTCTTTCGAATAGAAAATTCATCATACTAGTTCCACTGGTGCAATATTATTATATGTAATATAAAAATCTTTTGTTTCAAAAAAATCGAGCACCAAATTGATATATATTCTTAAATATATTAGTGAAATTTTTAGGAATTATATTGTGAATTATTGAGATATGTTCAGATTTTCGAAAAAGGAAATTAACAAAATTTCCGAAATTTCTATTAACTCGATAATCACACAGCAGTGTAAATCAAAAGTTTTTAGAAATATTAGGAATTTCAGTAATTACAGAAATATTGAAAATTTCGGTAATTACAGAAATATTGGAAACTTCGGTAAATATCGAATTACAGCAATTTCACAAATTACATAATTTTGGGAAATACCGAACAATTTGAAACACAAATGTTTGAAATTTCCAAAACTTTCGAAATTTCCCTTTTTAGTATTCTGAACACTGCTGATATTTCCATAATGGTACAACAGGAAGATGTATGAAGATTGATGCTGGATACGTTAATCTCGATTTAGCATATAAATTTGAAGTAATAAATGCAAGATAATCAAATTGGCATATTACAATTATTCATTTCATACCAAAGATATGTATCTATGTAAAAAAATATTTTGCAATATTTATTTATATGATTATTAAACTTAGCATTATATGAAGTAATAATATCGAAGAAAATATTTAAAAAAAAACATAGATTAAAGTCATGGAATTTATACCAACATTACTTTCGACGTTTAAATTTAATTGTAGATTTGACAGACTTATTTTAATTGGACACTTTTGATTTCAATAGTAAATTTATTGATAATTAAAAAATACCTTGAAAAGCAGTAAATAGAAATACCCATGCAATACAAATAATCAATAGATTTTTTCATATTTGCAATTTTTCTTTATAACAGTTGAAATACTTTCTGTCTCTATTTCTTTATTACTAAAATACAAAGAAAAATAATTTAAAATTTTTTATCTTTAAATAGATTACTTAACAAGAATATCTTTATCTACTTATGTAAATAACTATTGTACTAAAGATCCTCTGAATATGTATATGTAGCACCAACTTTCAATAGAGAATGAAAACAACAAGCATTTCATATGTATAAGTATACGCGTGTTAGGATATTCTATTGACTATTTGTCTATTTCCATGATTAAAGACCATAATTTCATGATCATTGAATAAATCATTCGTATCTGTCATTATCTAACTTTTCATTCTTATTTTCATTTATTGGCAATTATATTTACAGTATAAACTCAATTTTATTTGAATTGGAATACCAATAACGTCTCATTAGAATATATGACCTACTGTCTTATTGTATTTTTCGAAGTTTAATAAGTAAAATGATGGTGAAGAAATGGGTTCCCAAATAGATAGAATAAAACAATTTTTCTATGGTAAGTAATAGTAGCTATATCGTGTTTCATATTTTAATCCTGCAAGGATTTGCACTAACAGCTTTTTATATTGAATTACTTTTATGGTTTGATAGAAACGTAGAATTTGTGAGCTTTCAGTCTAAGCTTACTAAAACAAAAATACATTTTTTACTCAATGAGACAACTTTCTTTTTTTTTGTCGTAGTTTCATTTTTAAATATAATCATGTAATCAAATATTTTAAATTGACAATAAAAAAAAAAACGAGAGAAAATTCATTCATAATTATTGTAGATTGTTAATCAATGTATTATAATTTCTTCATACAACTAAATGAATAATTAATCAAAAGAGTTTATATTAAATGAATGTAATATTGAAAGATTAGTATATTTATTCATCTATGTTATGGATTTGAAGATTTTTATATTTTAGTTTGATTTCGTTAATCTCCCAAGTTAATTGATGTTATTTAATAGAAATATCTCATTTTGAAAAAAAAAACATTTCAATTTATATCTTGGAATATATTAGAATAACTCTGTAAAAGAAAGTTCTTTTAGATAAAAAATAAACTCGATTTATTCTTCCTATTAGTATATGAAACATAAGTATTTCAAAAATAATTTACAAGCACGTATTTTTAAATGAGCCATGCTAAGATTATATTCCTATTCATGTTTTATATTTGATGAAATTAATTATTTTACTCCGTTACCATCACCAGGAACAGCAGAGACTATAACAACGAGTTTTGTCTCGTCTTGTCATGTTTAAAGCAATATTATATCAATCTTTGATTAATCACAAACTTTCAATAAATATAAACTTATTAATGAAAAACAAAAGAAAACTAAATAGTTCAAGTTTTAATTATTGATGAAGAACAGCTTGGTCAAAGTCGTTTGACGAGTGATTAATTCTATGTACTATGAACTGATATTATTGTATTTATACGCGCAATTCAGGGAGATAATACTCATAAGACACGTATTATATTGTTGTCGAAGAGTAATTGCAAAATTATGTTGAGGGGTTGCACACTACGTGCTTTCTTACCTATATATATATTCCTAATCACGACGTAAATCAACCCTAGAGAGCAAAAAAACAAGTAAACAAGAAAGTAGTTGATTGAAAAATTCTAAATTAATTTTATTCATTCATAATTAATAACTAGTTTTGGTTATCTTATTATAATCGAAAAACTTATAAATATTTCCATGTTTTTCATCTGACTAATTCAACTTAAATCAGCCATTATTGAATTGAATTTTTATTGTTTGTTAAATGAATTCTTTATGCAATAAATGTCATTACAAAATCGATTTCGTTTTTTTTTCTCGATTAAACTTCTTACATTTCAGCAAATATATTTCTCAATTTAAATAATTTTATTAATAAAATAACTAAAAAATTAAATTCAATATTTAACATCCTACGAAGATTAATCAAATAATAAAGATTCATTCTATTCTTGATAAACTAATTCTACTATCAAAAATATTTAAGTATAAACTTAACATTATATCTCATGGGCAAAGTCCACACATTTTATATGTTTACAAAAGTATTTTTTAGTAGGCTAAAAACTAGTCAAAATATTTACCAGGTACTTAAAAACATTACTATGGAGTGATTGGAAAAAAAAATATTCAAATAATGTGTATTCAACCGAAACGTAGATGACAGCTTTGAAAATCAACCTTGCATTCAAATATCATTTATTATTTATATTATATGTTTGTCATATTTTCATAGTCGTTATTTCAAAAAAAAAAGAAAAAAAAACTTTATCTAAAATATTATTTCGTTTTGATCTTTTTCTTATTGTATTAACAAATGTTATTAATTTCACTTATAAATCAAGTTACGGGTCGATTGATTTGAATCTAATCATACACTTGCCTCCTCGATATTTTGTTTTTGTTAAATATTGACTGACATTTTCATGCAAATTTTGTCACCTTCTAGGCATTATTTTTGTTTTTGAAAATTAATCATTCTCTGGCTAGCATCGAAAAAAAATGCACTTGTTCTTTTTTCTTCTATTAGCGTCTTTCGTGATATAATGTTTTCGCACAGAAAGAAAAAACAATCAGTAGCATAAACATGTAACTAAATTTAACTATTGGGTACGATCAAGAGCAGAAAAAAAGAAAGAGAAACCCTTGACCCAGCATGAATGATTCATAGTTAGAGTTATTCTGTACAAGCTTGCAAAAACATCAGTTTTATCGAAAGTACTTATCTTGTGTAGAATTTTTGTGGGTAGAACAAGTAATGTGCTCCTTTCCATTTATTTTTATTATTAAAACGTAAAAATACGAATTTTTTTCTTCGAGTAAGATGTGAATAATTGAAAATTTCGGCGATTTTTTTTTCTTAGTTTTGTTTTTGTGTGATCGAATGTAACCCCTTGATTTATTTTTAAAAAATACGTCTTTCTAATTTTCAAAACTAAATTTCATCAAAAAAATTTCGAATATTATATTTCATTGGAACAGATGTCAATTTTCTCATGTATCTATATTTTTTATTTTTTCGTTCTGATCTACTCTATAGACATTTTTTTGTCATTTGCAAAACAAAATTAACTAGACAGAAGTAACCTTATAATTTTCTTTCTTTAGTCGATTTGAGTTCGAGAACTAGAAAACATATTTACAGAGTTTCATGAAGCAATAAAAAAAATAGAATACTCACAAATACATGAGATATTGACATTTGTTATAATAGAGTCTAAAGTTCAAGATTTTTTTCGATTTTTCTTTTTTTTGAAAAATTTTGTTTTGAAAATTTGAGAGACTCATCTTTTCAAAGCGAATCAACATCCACAATCTTACCATACAAAAATTGTAGGAAAAAAAATAATACGTAGAAATTTTCGATTATTTACGTCTTGTCTAATTATTAATCAGATATACATGCACGCAGTATTTCGTTTTCTTTTTTCACGTGTTGTGTCTCACACATGATTTTATATTAGAATGACGCTAATGAAGTAATTGCGTATATAAAAGCAATACAAATTTGTCCTTCCCCACTCTTGCGACACAAAAAATTAGTAATGAGAGGACGCGACCTGTATATTCCTATATGATTGTTCACCTGTGTGTTTAATATCTAGTATATATATATATACCTATGTATATATATACATATACATATATATTTATGCTCTGAATTTTATTATGTCATCGTAGAAATACACTTATGGCAAAAGATAAATCAACTTTTGGTAAACAACTTGCACATTTTTTATCAAAAATGTTTTGGCATTTGAATCAACCAGTGGTACCAACGTACAACTTTCCTAATCAAAAGCATTCAACATCATCATCAAAAACATCAATCAAAAACAAAGTTTCAGCCAAATCTTCATACAAAATTTCACCAATTAATGGACATTACATACACAGTCAATGTTCTTCACGACAACGAACCCCTTCAATACGGCCACGAGTTGCAACATTATCATCAATTCAAGAAGAATAGAATACACAACAAAACGAATATTACAGTTATGTATTTAAATATGAAACAGAAAACGAACTGAATGATTATTATTCTTAAAAAAAATAAAAAAAAAAATCATCTCTAGTCATAGATTGTATTCTATTTTGTGTTTAGCTTTGTATCTGTAGTAATGTAAATTTATTAAGTTTTAAAGCAAAATAAACTTTAATATTTTCCTTTTTTTTCCTGATTAATCGATAATCAATTTATTTAACTTAAATAAAACTTGTCTGAAGTCAAATGAAACTTGATTTTTTTTATTCTTCTTCATTCATCTTATTATTAATAGACAAATTCGATTTGACAACAAATTAATTTATGAATGTAATTTCATTTTTAATAAATAATTTTTGTGACGTCTGTGTTCTATTGGCATAGTGATATTTGAGATGATTACATGCAACTTTGTTTGTCATCAAATTGAAAAATCTAAATTTCATTTTTTTTTTCAATTTATTTTCAATCGACAAATTCTTGATGTCGTAAAATATCTTATGAAAGAATTTCATATCGAGAAATTTAATATAACATCATAGTTTTCTTCTCTTTTTTTTCTCAAAGTAACATTTAATATACTTTTTTAGTCACACTTATAATTATCTGTAAAAATTTCATTGCGTTTATAGGACAATTTATAAAGTAGATTGAGAGAGTCATTTTCGAGGCTCACGTATCATTTTTTTTTTATCAATCTATTTTCTTTGATTCGTATCAAATGACCTTTCAAAATAAATGTTTTTCTTTTTAATGCTAAGGTCAATACGACACAAAAAGATATTTTCATTTTGAGAATATTTATTTGAAATATTAGTAGTTAAATATATATATATATAAATATGTATGTGTGTGTGTGTGTGTGTATTGAAGAGCTTCCTATATATCGAATATAAGAAAATTTAAAACGTAAAATGTTCATTAGTCTATTCATCATAACCCGGTGGTTGATTTGGAATAAGTTCAACCTTTGTCTTTTTATCATATTCATCAGAATCAAGCCAACGTTGTACAGGAAAATATGTTGTCGTATTTGATGCTTCATTTGTAATCATTAAATTTTCAACAAGCCAACCTTGAGATTTATCACCTGTATGCCACAATGTTGCACCTTTGATTTTACCTAATGATGGTAAAAATTGTATAAATACATCTGTATGTCCATGTTCAAATGGATCCTTATGTGTTTGTGAATTTTGTAATTGTATAGTACCAGAATTAGCTTTTTCACCATGTAATATTAAATAAACATTTGCATCTGTACCTGATGCTTTTAATAGAACTAATTTTTTACCTTCAGTACCAGTTTTAATGGTTATTTTATATTTTTCTTTTCCACGTAAATCACCATCAGGACAATTTGGTTTTGGTACACAATGAAATGCTAAAAATTCATATAGATTTGTATCACCTTTACAACGTCGAATAAATTCTTTTTTAGTTATTTCATTTTTTTCTTCATAACCTAAACGTTTCATAACCCAATCAATTGTTGTTTGACGTTTATCTGTATCATTATTGTCATCTGTATCATCTTTTGTTTCAACTAAATTTAATATAGCCATTACAGCATTTTGTATTTCTTTACGTGTTAAATTAGCATCTGATTGATTACGATTATATGCTTTATAAGCAAGTTCAAGTTTAGCTTTTTCATCTGTACCTTGACTAACTGCTACAACACGAAGAAATTCACGAAAATTTAATGCTTGATCACGATCATCATCAAATGCAGTAAATAACATTTGAGCATATGTATCCGAATTACGTGCACGAGGATAATATGAACGATATAAATTAATGTAACGTTCTTTTGATATACTACCCGTTGGACATTCCTGCACAAAACGTTTATGCCAATCTTGTATTGATAATTTACTAAGACCAGTTTCTTCAGAAAGTTGATTTGATTCTTTTGAAGTCAGTGAAGTCATGGCAATAGCTTGACAATATTATTGTTAATGGAACACCAATGAAGATCTTTGTAATATTCTGCTTTGTCTTCTTTTTTTTTCTCCCTCTCTCTGTCGTTCCGTTTATTTCTTTTTTTTTTTTTGTAAATTTTCTCTAAGAGACACCTTGGATGGAAAAAAAGAGGGAAAAGAAGAAGAAAGGATTGACGTACTCATTATCGTTGCTTGATATTAGGAAAGAATTTTTTATTTGACGGGAGAATAAGCATGTTATAGAAGAGAAAAAAAAATGATGTTGTTGTTATAGTTACATGCAAGACAACAAATAGATTAGATTGATTGTAACTAAACAAAACGGTAGTTTCCGTTTTTCAATAGACTTTTTTTTTTTGTTTTTATCGTTTAAGTACAAATATCAATCAAGATTTGACGTTCATTTTATATCATAATACAAATATAAAATATTTTAAACTAATACTAAAATTTAAATTGTAATCATTTATATACTACAAATAAAAGTACTAACTAAGCAAAAAATTCACAAGTCTAAGGTTAAGAAATTATTTGTGCATAAAAGATCAAAGTCTAAAGATATAATTTTTTTGCAATTCTATCCGTAAGTAATATGATCAGATGAACGTTTTATTCTAACGAGCATCCCAACAAAAGAGAATCTATACATGATTCAAAACTTTCTTTTCTTTTAGAATTATAAAGCAGTAAACTGATGATTGCAAATAAAAGAGACATATATCTTTACAAGTCATGCACAATGATATCATATTTCTGTTGTTTTTTCTTTGTGCAAACATCATATGTTCCCAAGCTTATTAACGATAAATAAAATACAGAAAAATTATATAGTTAGTCTAATTTTCTTAGGTAAATGTTTATTGATAAATAATTAATTAGATTGAATAGATATGATTATACATCATATGAAGTTAATTAAAGAATTAGAATAATAATTTCGAACGTTAAGAAAAGACATCTAATAAATATATATTATTAAATTTAAGTCTATTATTTTTATCCTTGCGGTTACTATCATTAAATGTTGGCATTAGAAGCATAATTAAATGAAAGTTCAATGTCCTTAAAAACTTTGTAATCATTGCATGTGCACATGTGAGTTTTCTCTAAAGGATTCTTAACTCTAGTGGATAATCTGATGAAAAAATTCTTTTACTTATACTATCATGTTGTAAAAGGCATGACACGCAAAAAACTCTAAATATTTTTTCATTATAAATGTAGTAAAAGTTCAAAATAATTTTTTTTCATCATGTCAATGAGTGCTCAGAATTTTAATAGATTAATTCAAGTATTTTTTTCTGTTTTACATTTATTAGTCATCGATATTTCAAATTGCATATCTAACTGTATTAAACATATATGAAAATCATGTCTATGTTAGTAGTGTATAATATTCTTGTGAACAGACAGAATGCTTATGTTGTTTAATTACTCAATAATATATAATAAATATCTATAATAATAAAATTAACAAATTTATAATTAATTTTCAACTTATTGTTTTTGGTGTTTAATTTTCGATATGAAAAAAATATAAAAGAATATTGTCATATAATGCTTTAACCAATCGGATGTTATTATTTTATTATTAACAAGAAATATTTGTAAAGATAAATTGCTTTTTTCAAAATAGTAAAAATATATTTTTAAATAATATCAATTGAAAATTTGTTAATAAATAAAAAAAAAGTTCATATTAGTATTATCATTTTAAAGAAATGATAAATTTAACTTTGAACTCTAATTAATATATCAATGATGATTCATTTAACTTTCGAGAAAAAATAACATACTGCGTAAAAGTCTTTATTTCTTTCTTTCTACCTACAATACACAGAGGGCGCTACTATATCTTGACTTTTTATTTGAATGTAGCGAACATTTATTTGGACTCAATCCAGTGAAAAACACATATACATTACAAAAAACAATCGAATACTTATTTTCGATCTCATATAATTGTTTGAAAACATGACTACAGGTAAAATGATAAATTTTAAATTGCTGAAAAACAAAAAAAACTAATTATGAAAATTTCTTTCTTTAGGAAGTTTTCCACCTTATGCACGAATGATTGGTGATAGATTTGATGTTTCAGCTTATTGTCGAGAACCATTAGTTGCTGCACTTGATCATTTGTCAAGTGTTAAATTTGCAGTATTTTCTTTAGTTCGTCCAGCATTAAAAATAGCTGCTCGATCATTATTTATTGAAGATGAAACAATTACATTTTCGAATATTTTATCACATTTAAATTCTGATACACCAATAACAGCTCCACCACCTGAAGCTCAACCTCAACGACCAAAACGATCATTTTCACAACGTGTAATACATTTTTTTACTGTTGGTATACCATTAGCAATTATTGTTGGTATACTTGCGGGACTTCTTCATTTAATAAAAAATTTTTCACATGATATAACAACTGTTATTACAAATGTCAATCAATTATATTCGATGAGTCAACGTGATGTAAAATTTTATAAAGGTAAAAGAATAAACAAATAAATCTTTTATTATTATTATTATTAAAAAAATTCTTTCTTTTGTTTTGTTTTTTTTTTTCTATTTTTAGAAAATCCACAATTACTTCCATCACGTAATAAAGCTATTGATGAAATTGTTAATACAGGTTTAAGTTTTTATACACGTCGACTTATTTATAAAAAATTAGGAATATTTTCATTTATTGCCAAACCATTTATGACACTTATTGAAAATCTTCTAATAAAACGTATTATTAAATTTTGTGATCATATTGATAAACTACGAAATCGTTATAATAATCGAACAATGCCACCATCAGCACCACCAGCACCATCAGCACCAATGCCGCCGCCTTATTATAATGATAAGTCTGATGATTTTAAATATGATTGATAATTACACTTGAACAATTTTTATTTTATACTCGCATTTAGGTGTGTTCGTTTTGTTTTTTTTGAAGTTAATTTTGTTTGTAAAATAAAATTTTGAAGTATGAAAAATAAATTTTTAAAATCCAGCGTACTAATGAATTAATGTTATTAATTTTGTTCGAATTACTAATTATTTTTTTGTTTGAATTTTCTATATGATTGGAATCTTAAACGATTATTAAATTGCAAGTCTGAATCATTTGTAATTATCAGATGTAAAAAATAACTATGTACGTTGTTGAAAATGCTACTTGCCTTCTTTATTAGAGAATGAAAAATTCTTATAATAAAATTGATATTTAAAGTCTTTCATGAAATTGATCAATCATTCTCGATAGAGTAGTGTCTCTAAAAATCTCATTTTATGCCTTACGAATTATGAAGCTAAGCTGTACAAGTGTGACAAAATAGAGCTGTTGGCAATTTATGATAAGAAAATAATCAGGCATTCAATAATCTGGCTCGTATGAAAAGAACTGGTTTATAGAGTTGAGCATTGTCACATGTCTAATCATTAGATAGATTGAAATTTTTAGTCTTATGCTTTGTTTTTAATAACAGAACAAGATATTGATTAACGGGAAAATGGAAATGAAAATTCTTTTTAAATTTTTTCTCTTATTCTTGTCGATTTTTCTATGGTATTGTCCGAAATATAGCTGGAAACCGAGGTAAGAAAACAAGTCAGGAAGTCGTTTTTCCTCAAGGTGTAACAGAGAATAAGAAATCCCTACTGTATGTCATGCTACATTCTAGGTAAATCATATTTTACTATTATTAGAATGCTATAAAAAAAACTCTTTGTTGGATAAACCATTGTATAAATACAGACAATGTAATGTAATTAAAAAAAACTAATGACATGCCTGAGATTTGAATAGTATTAGGAATGATATAATCTATGATTTTCATTGTGAACATAATTAAACATCCATTTATAGAACAACTAATATCTGTAGTATTAGAAATTTAACTTCTTATTGCGGAATTGAAATTCATACATCATTATTAGACCTATTTACTGATTGTATTGAGACTTCTGCGCGGGGATGTTCTAAGATCGCCAGAATTGAGAAGCGAAAGGTCAATTGGAAAATCACTAAAGGTGACTGAACTTATGTGGGTTTAAACGTTTTTTTTTCGGAAGAAATTGGCGAACAAGAAACCAATAAAGCGCTGACACACTGCTAGAGAAAACAAAAATAAATTTTCAAGATTCGAGGATCATTTCCTTGCTTCGAACATTTCTGCTTCTACATGATCAAATATCGCCTAATCTTGGTTACACCATCTAGAAAAATCAATTATGAAGTCTATATTGAATGATTCTCAATATTCGTTCTATACTTCTATATTTGAATATAATGATTTAATTCAATAACTGAATAATGTAAATGTTTTTAATTTCGATAAAAAGAAACTGAACAATATGCATGTTCTCTATTCACTAATAGGTGTTAATATTCAACGACTTGACTTTCTAGCACAAGAAAAAAACAATTTTTATTAATAACGTCAATTTTGTATCAACTGATATTGATGATATTTGCTCAATTAATGATTCTATACTCGATTGATTTTGTATTAATATATTATCCGGAATTCAATACAATGTTACATGAGTCATTCTGGTGTTTATTGCACCATTTGACCGTCAAAAATGGCCTTGTTTATTTCTCGGTTCCTGTTCAGTCAAATTGCTCGAAATTAATACTAAAATATCTGTCAGTCATGCTCTACTTGTGCTGATAAAATTAGATTTCTATCTTTTATCGTTTGCGAAAAATGCTGAAAGTAAACTACTTTTTTTTGACCTTTTTTGTGCATTTTTATGATGGTTCCAGATTGGATGCTTTTCTTTCGGTCTTTTCTTTTTTACTTGAAACAAAAAATGTAAATGATATTTGATCGATTTTCTTATATCATGTCTGAATGCTCTATCTATTCATAATCTTATTTTTCTTCCAGCTATTGTCATTTCACAGAAATTTGACATTCTTTCAATAGCTCCTGAAAACAGGAAAAAAAGTGTCCCATCCCATCTTAAGCCTAGTGTGAATCCAACAAAGACTTTAAGCCAAATCTTATTCCATAAAAAGATTCACCAATTTGAGCACTGCCAATTAATGAAAATTAAAGCTTATTAACATTTTTTGTTTTTGAATAATTTACATCTTAGTGGTATCAATTGGCATGTGACACACAATTTGTCCCACTCCCTTTCACCCACCCCCTGATCAAACTGCAGGGAGTTAAGAACTGATCTTTTTAACACAAGTGTCAATTGGCGAGCACAACTTATGTTGTAAATATCGAGGCCCCAGCTTGTTTCTAAGCATAAGAATTAACAGATAGAAAAATTTGCCTTTTTTCCCTGTGTGTTCCGCCGCCTTTTGAGCAAACTACAAAGAGTCAAGAGCTGCTTTTTTTACTACAAATATTAATTGATAAGGACAACTTGTATTGCAAATATCAAGACTCTAACTCATTTCTCAACAAAGTTACTAAAAAAAATACGATGATATGCTCTATTCTCTAGTTAGTACTACCCTTCTGCCTGACTAAAAATCTAAAAAAGGAATTGTATCAAACTGATCATTTTTGTATTCCTTCTGGATACATAACACGAAAGAAAATCTTCTAAAACCTATAGAATCACGTTAATTCCTGAATGTCATTAGTTTTTACTCAAATAAGACAATAGACCCCATAATAAGTTCCTAGGAAGCTTTCGATCTCTAAATCTGACAAAATAAAAGACTGATAATTTGCAAAATTACTTTTTCTTATACTTTAAAATATTCTCTATCAGATGATGACACTTTTAAATGCAGCCGTTTACTTTTTTTTTCGATCACTTTTGCAAAAATATGATACAATAGATACCAGAATGATTCAAATGTACCTTATCACGAGCACAAAATTAGGTCAGTTGGTTTTGTTAATAAAAAAAAACTCTTGTTTTGTAAATTATATATCTTGAGGCGCTTTTGAAGAAAATCTAATCGTTTCGGGGAAAAATGTGAATATTACTTCTTCCATTTTTCTTAAGAGTAATCAAGTTTCACTCAAATACAACTCGAGATATAGAAATATAAAAGCTAAGAATTTTTTTTAGAGACACAATTCACTCGACTAATTTGCTGACTATAACGATGTATATTTATTTTGAGAACTATAATGTTACGGGTCAATGGGTTCGAATTCGGATTCTGCCAGTAGAGCACGAAACTACCACCGGTTTATCAGCGGTATACCGCCAATTTTAAGTCACTACTACTAACATATCCCAGTTAACTACTAGTATGGTGCATACTATACAGAGTGGTCAGCTGACGGTCAACTAACGGTTTTTTGGTTCGAGTCACTTGAATGGTCATCCTGTTAAATACCCATTTTTTCCCGTTATTTTGACGCAACATATATAACCGTACTTTTGCTGAAGCTTTCGGGAGTGAGGCCAGAATTTCGGCTCAAGGAATTTTCGGCCCGGACCAAAATTCCGGCGAACTGTCGCTCAGGGCCGAAATACCACCGGAAATTCGACCCGGGACGAAATTCATGTCATTGCTGTTGATAAAAGATACTCAAACCTTGACGAATACTTAGCGTATTCCATAGTGCTGAGCAAAGCGACGTAATACTGAGCAAAGCATCGTAGTGCTGAGCAATACGCAGGTTTCACAGCGCCGCCAATTTTCCTTCTTTTCTTCGAATCTTTGTTATTTGTTGTACATGTACACTCGATAAATAATCCTAAGTTTTTCCATTTTCGCGACTTTTTGGGAAGACCATCGAATAGCAAGAAAATCAGGATTATTCGTCAAAGCTAAAACGAATAACAACGATTCGAAAAAAAGAAGGAAAAATGGCGGCGCTGTGGAGTCTGAGTACGTCGCACTGCTCAGCACTGCAGAATGTAGCCACCAGTTATAGAAAAGTGACTTCTTTTTTAGGGATTAATGAGAGGAATTTGTGCGCGGGTCGAAAAATCATCAGACATTTGGACCGGGCCGAAATTCATGTTACCCTTTCGGAAGAGATACACAACCACTTATAAATCTAAAAATAATCATATTTTAAATCGATTCAAGCTCTTTATTTTAGATTCCATAGAGAATCTAGAGCCATCTTCTAGTCTATCCAAAACGAAGAAACTTGTACGCTGTCGAATCCTACAGTATATCCCAAATAGTCCGATAAATTCTTTAGAAATTTGACGACTTCAGATATGATCCTGTCGAAAATATTCGATCTGACAGCTAGAAAAATGTCGGATGCATTTAGAATTCAATGGAATCATGTTGAATGCATATCGTGAGACCAGACATGCTGTGCATCTTCCTCTATCATATTTTTTCACCTGCATCCCTTTTTACAATTGATTGAAAATTATCGTTTCAGTGTAATATAAATAACAGTTTTGCATCATCTGCAGATGATAAAATCAGAGTTCAATCAATTCGTCATATCGTGTCATACATAAAGATTCCATCATTAACAAAACTAGATTTCGGACAATTGTTGAAAGTCAATATTGCGAAATTCATGTTACTTTAATTTCTGAGTTCTCCTTTGTTCGAGATGTTATTATGGATCATAAGAATTTATATCTCAAAATTTCATATGAAACGGAAGCTATTTAATGGAAATTTATAGAGACGACTGATATATCTTGTTTTAACGGAAAAAGTTACTGGACATCAACTGTTAAAATATCTTCATTCATAAAAAAATAAAAAAGAGTATTAAACAAATGATAAAAGACTAGCAGATGAAAAAAGTCTTCGCAAAAATAACAGAAAAAAGAAAATTTAACCATGAATATTCATTGAATGTGTTGAAACTTTATCAATTACTTTGTTAAATAAATCTTTTAGAGACTTTATAAATGCTTTTTGCTCATCAATTTTAGAGAGTACCTAAGAATTATTTTAGAACTTCTATGATCCTAAATGAACTCATAAAGTGAATTATAGACTTTGATCAGATCAAATTCGCTAGCCTAACTCGAGTTTTTAAGATAATCACTGACAGCCACCAATTGATGTATGCTATGACTTTTATAAACCAATACAAATTTCATAATGAACATGACAGACAGCTGATATACTTTTGAAGCAATTATTTTTCCTTTGTGTGATAGCACTGCCCTCTATCTTGTTCCATCTTTTGATAGTCTCTTTTTAAAAAAAATTGAAAACGTAGTTTGATAGAAAAAAATTTTCTCTATTTTTTGATATTAATGTTATATATCTAGTCCATCTCGAAAATCAACTGACCAATAATTCATGACTTGCTATTGTTTCGCTTTTTTGTCATCTAAAATTATTCCGAACTAATCAAGTTATGCAACCAGCAGGTGGAATTTCTCTATATTCACATTAATTGTAAATTAAAAATAATTATTTTCAATTTTTATTTAGCTACAATTAGTGTTAGTAAAGTCGCTCTTTTTAAACCTAATGGAGCAAATTATATTGATGAAGATACAACTATAAATACTGAACAAGTTAATATAATAATTTTAATAATACACAAAAAAGAAATTTTTCTTTGTTTTTTTCTTAAAAGGAATTATGGTCAATAAGTGCAACAAGTAATCGACAAGGTGACGAAGAAATTTATGCTCGAGGTTCACATATTATTTGGACATATCCACTTCAGAATATTCAATGTCCATCTTATATGGAATTTAATACTGATACGATACCAAAAAAAGTAAAATCAAAAAAAACAAAAAAAATTTCGAAGAAACAAAAAAAGTCTAAGTTGATATTTTTTTCAGCTTTTATGGACGAAATTTGATCAATGTTCAATGTCTTGTAAATGAAAAAGAAAAAGAAAATAAAAATCTATTATTTTTATTTTTTTAATATTAGGTGAACATGGTGGAACAGAATTTCCAATTGTAATTGAACATAATTGTTTAACTGTTCTTGGTATGGATAGTGGATATACAAAAGTTGCTCTGCCATTCTCTGTACATATATATATATATAAACAAAACATTAAATTTTTATTAAGAATAAATTTTTTTCTTTTAAAAGGTATCAAAAGTTTGGTCATTTCAAAATGGTTTAATGATTGAACGACAATCGTAAAATATTTTATTTAATAAAATTTTTCTTTCTTTTTATTGAATCTTTTTTTTTTTGCTTTTCGTTTAGAAATGATCATTATCTTCCAAATTTATTTTCTCTATCACATCCACTTGATGAAGTTAAACCAGTTATATCAAGACATCATGGTGAATGGTTTTATAGTTTTGATAAACATGTTTATACAACAGCAGGTTTAACTAGTGATGAACAACTTATATTACGTTTTGATGAAATTGATCGAGTACATAGTTTATGGTTATTACGAAAATGTACTGATGAAGTAAATTTTTAAATAAAAATAAAACAAAAAAATGTTTTTTATTTTCTTAATTAATTTTACTTTTTTTGATTTTTTTTTAAATAAAAGGATCGTCATCAAGCAACAAATATGACATTACCAACATTAAATGAAAGTCAATTAGGACAAGGAAATAATCATCAAACATTAAATACAAATACATTATTAACACAACAAAATATGTCACTTGCACAAATATCAATTATGAATAATACATTATCACGTCGTTCAAGTATATTAACAACAACAGTTTCAGGTGGAACAACAACTAATGTTGGAACAAATTCATCACCAAATCCAAGTCATTTATTAACAAATCCAAGACGATTAGCATCAATGGCTGTTATATCGTATGAATAACGGGAATGATCGGAAAGTTTTTAGATAAGATGTTTATTCACTTTTGACTTGATAGAAAATATTTTCCATGAATCAAAAGCTATGAACTCTTTTAGAATAATGGACGTAAAAATTTTGTATCTATTTTTATTCAAGAATAGGTGAAGAACTTTTTGAAAGGCCTAAGAAAATTATTTTTAATGGTGAGCCAATATATTTTTATCCTATAAGTCCCTTTTCGAACATGCTAAAAATTGTCGAAGTCAATCGTTTTTCTAGACTAGACAGTTCTCTTCAAAATGTGATATTAAACTAATCTATAGCTTTCACTCAAGTGAGACTATAAGCATTTTTTCAAGAGCTCATGTCAACGTAAGACAATTGTCGATTTTTCAAAAATGAGTTTTTAGGAGAAACGAAAATTGAGGTGCCTCGTCGAAAGACAAAAATCACTTCAAATAGTGTATTTTATAGAGTAGTATCTGATCTACAAGCTAATATATAAATAAAGATGCCAACTTTTGGCTATGAATCGCAATAATGAAAATACCAAAAACTGACGAGTGCCGTTCGATTTCATAGTATGGCTATGAGTACGTCTCGATGAGACTAAGAAAAGCTTAATAAGATTCAGGCTCATCACCTACTCATACACATAATATAAAGCCGAATAGTGTCCGACAGTTGGATATGTTCTCTCGTAAGATAAAATTTTTAAGCCAATATTCGAAAAACTCATAATTTGTGACTCATCGGACATATTTTTTCTAGTAGATCAAAAGTGAACAAACATCTTGTCTAAATACTTTCCAAATATCCATTAGATATTCTTTTTATTTTCTATACATATAAAACTTCTTCTTTTTTTTTTGTATTATAGACGATCACCATTATCTGATTCAATTAATCGTGCAACAACTCGTTTACCATCAACACAATTTCTATCATCAACAACAACAGCAACACCATTTTCATGTTCAACATTAACTATAGGTAATGTTGGTGGAACAACTAATTTATCACAGTTTCCAACAACAGCATTAATTGATCGAATGGGTACAAATGGAAGTTTTATGGCTACACTTAATGCTGATTGTGCTGCACATTCAAATTCAATACCTGATCCACTTTGTCCAGATTATTGTGTTGAATTTATTTGGGCAGATACATCATTTAATTCATTATCGAAGTAAATAATAGATGAAATGAAATGAAATTTTCTTAAATATTTTCTTTTTTGTTATTGTTTGTAGAGATCCAGAACAATGTGCAACGAAATTTTTTGGTGTAAGAGATTTATCTGATCATCGATGGGTAGCTTTTTTAATGCCACATGTTAGACAATTACGGTAAAAATGAAAAGAATGTAAATTTTATTGTTTTAAAAATCAATTATATTATTTTAGACTTGTTTTACTTGAAAAAACAACACTCGGAACAGTTAATACTGGTGTAAATAAAGTTGAAACAATTAATGCAAGAGATGCAATTTTTGTTGCTGTATGAAAATGTTTTCTTTTTTTTTTCTATTAGAATGATTGTATTAAATTAATATTGTTTTAGTCATTAAAATTTCTTGTTGTACTCGATTTATCTCGTTCAATTCTTCTTTATTCCGGTGCATCAAAAGTAAGTTAAATTTTGAAAATTCATTACTTAAGGATTGATTAATAGTTTCGAAATAAGATATTATTTAAAAAGAGATGAAGTTTCTATTCTAATAAATATTTTTCTAATTAGTTATATTTTAAAAACAAAAAAACCCAATTTTTAGATTGCTAAAGTTCTTTTACATGAAGAAACTGGTCCATTATCATCACATTCATTTCTACGTTATACACCTTATCAACGTGTTCGAACATCAAGTCGTCCAACAAGTTTTCATCGAACACCATTACCATTAGTAGATTTTTCTTTTTTGAAAATTTCTCTTTTAAATATAAAAAATAATATCTTTTAAGAAATTTCCATCATCACCAGTTTCATCAACATTAACACCGGCACTTAATCCTCAATCATTTCTATGTGATGAAAGTCTCAATGATTTACATCCAACAACAATATCAAATATTCATACACCTGGTGGTACAACAAATACAGGAAATTTCTTATCAATAACACGTTATGAATCACTTGATGATGTTCGTGGTCGATTATTTAATCTTAAATTACAAAATAATCGTTATTATACTGTTGAATTACCTAATATTTGTCATACACCATTATGTAAGTTTCTGAGCTGGATCGGAACTGAAAATATTTTCGCTGACCGGAACCAAAAACGACTGGTTCACTTATGTTATTAATCTATTTAATTCTTTTTTTTTTTAAAGGTTTATCTGCTTTAAAAGCTGTATGTTCATGTGTACCACGTGAAGTATTTAATCAATTTATAGCAATTTTTTATTCATCAAATATTGATCCAATTAATGAACATTCACCAGCTGAATGGTATACATTTGTTAAAACATTATTAACATTAATTGGTTATGATTTACGTAAATGTTCATATATAAAACGATTAGAATCTAAATCATCATCACCAACTCCACCACAAACAATAAAAAAAACAAAAATTGATATTAATGATATTGATGAAGATTGGCCATTTATGTTAAATGAAATACGTCGTATTGAACCAAATTTAGTTAAATTATTTAAAAAAGATGATTTAACATTACAATTACTTGATAAAACACCTGATTTATCACATGATGAACATGATGATGGATTAAATAATCTTCCAATTATTCCAACAAATGTTGATTGTTTATCAGATGATGAAAATGATGAAAATGCTGCACGTGAATGGACACATAATATAAGTAGTACAAGTAGTACATCATTATTAATTGAACAAGGTGATACATCAACTGGTAGTGTTGAACATCCATCACCAGCAATTATATCAAATATATTTCCACAACAAAGACATAAAGCTGTATCATCAACACCAACATTAACACATATTGATAGAAATGATAAACCAAAACAACAACGAATTAATCGATATACAACAATTAATTCAAATGATCCACTTTATGCACATGCAGGACAAATTCTTTGTGCTTTACATGTTATTTATGAAGTAAGATAGACAAAAAAAAAAAAAAACATGATTTAATATGAAATAAATTATTTTGTTATTTTTTAGGATTTAACATTAAATCATACAAAAGATTGTACACCATTACTTGAACTCTTATATCTTTTAGCTTGGTAAATATGTCCTACAGACTTTGGTCCCATCGAATTATTATTGAGAAAACTAATGTTCACAAAACGTGCAAGTTCAAACAGTATTTTTGAAAATTAAATATTACAATTTGTAAAGAACTCAAATAGCTTTCATAAAGAATCAAAGTCAAATCGTTTCGCTCGATTTTGTCCGTATAGTCTCAAATTTATAACTGTAGAAAAAGATAATGATTATCTATACTCGAATTGATTAGCTTCGATGAAATAATAACAAATCTTACGAATAAGACTGTAATAAATGAGGATTCGAACTTTTTCTTAAGTGAAAACTTTTTTTTAAATAAATCTACATTACTATGTTTTGATCAAATACAAGCTTATTAAAAATTTTTCGTGGCTTTTCTTTTCTTTCTTTATTTGAAAATAAATCTAACTGATTATTTTATATAATATTTTAGTGATTTTGATTTACATGAATATCGTCATTATTATTTAGCTGAAAATTGGAAAATTTCTAAACGCGTTCGTAAAACTCATCAATTATCTCCAAGTAAATTTATTTTTTCATTTAAATTTATTTTCAAATTCATTATTATATATTCTAGTTGCTTCAAATATATTTATGCCAAGATTATTTGATCAAACACCACCAAGTTATTTAAAATGGGCACGTCTTTTCTTATCAAAATCTGATAATGGTAGTCAATTATCACCATTTCCATATATTGCTTCAGTAACAAATCGAATTGTTCTTTGCACTAAAGTAAATATATTTAAAGAAAAAAAGCTTGTTGGCGTAGCTCTTTTAGAGATGATATATGAAACTCATATACATTTTCTCACTATAAGTATACCGTTCGTCGCAATAGAAGACTCTGCTTAATTAATTTCTCGCAAAATTGAAATTTTAATTACTATATTTACGTTAAAATATGCCTAGTTTTCAGAATTTTGAGCTAAAAACTTTTAAAAACCGGAAGTTAACATTATTTCTAGGCTTTTAAAATTCCAAAAATCTCTTTCAGAATCCTCGCAATCGTTTTAGTTTTTTCGTGTGGGTTTACCTTAATCCTACACTCTTTCCTGTACTCGCTTCTCTCTTATTTTTAACTGTATCACTATAAATGATAGCAGTATTAAAATGATTGATTTACATCTTCGGTTGCTATGGGAGCTTACCCGATGACCTTCAACTTCGATTGCTAAGTGGGAGAGCTACAAACCTTCGACTTGAAACTTACACTGACTATTTTCTTCGAAAATATAAGGTGTTCCAAAAATCCATCAAGAAAATTATCATAAATATTTCTTATACAATTCAAGTGATTTAATTGATTTTTTTATAATATAAATATATGTTCCTTAAGTATAGTACTTATAAATATTAGAATAAAAATAGTTTTATAAATGACCAAATTTAAGGCACTTAGAGTTGTGAAATGAAAATTGCAAATCGAATTCGGCAAAAATACACTAAGTAAAGATTGTATGAAGCTTACATTTCAATGCTTGTGTGAAACTGATATAGTAAAAGATCGAGAACGTCAAAAATTACAGAAGAAAAAGCCGACGAAATTTATGATGTTTATGAAAAATGAATGAAAATCAATTGTTCGAGCTGTCGTATAGGTCTGATCCATTTCACGAACAATTTGCATCTTGTACGATTTCAAAGAAAGATATTCAATCATAATTGCGTGCACTGATATTCATGGAATAGAGCAGACCTTTGTAAAAGTTCGAGCACATAATTGTGATTCATATTTCACAAACATCATGAACTCTATTAACTTTTTCTTCTGTAATTTTTTGACTATCTTCTATTTACTGTATTACTTTCACAAAAACGTTAGAATCCAACTTTAATACAATCTTCACTTAGTGTATTTTTGTCGAATTCGACTTGTATTCTTCGTTTCACAACCATAGATGACTTCAATATTTTAAGAAAACATACTTACATATTATAAAAATAATTAATGAAATCGCTTGAATTCTATAAGAAATATTTACATTAACTTTTCCGATGGACTTTTAAGACATTCTGTATATGTGAGTTCTACAAGAAACAAAACGATCTTCTAAATAAATTAATTTATAAAAATTTTTTTATAGCTTCTTGCTACATATTTATATCCTGGTATGTCCAATGTATATTTAAATTATTTATGTAATATTGCTGCCAATAATAATGGTAAAAATAAAAGATTTTATTATTGTTCTTTTTTTCGTTTTGTTAAAAGAAACATTAATTTAGATGGAACATCACCATCACCAATGTTATTTACATCAATAAATACAACTAAAAGTGATATATTATCACGTCATCAACAAATAATTGATGCTTTTTTAAATGATGGTTAAAATAAAAACTTATTTTTATTATAAATAAAATATTTTCGTTTTTTTTGTTTTTTTGCTGTTAAAGATTTAACTTCAATTGAATTCGATAGTCTTCCATTATGTGTACATGCTGTTTTATATGAAGCTATAAGTCATGTTGCATTACATCCTAAATTTGATTTACCAAGAAAAACATATGAATTTCTTGGTCGACAAGAATTATCTTATCATGATCCAAAATTATTTGATAAAAATTTCCATCCAGGTCTTATATCATTACGAAGTTTAGAATTAATTCGTGTTTATGGAAAAGATTATCATAATGATAAAACTCGACTTGTTGAAAGCGAAGTATAAAAATTAACAACCAAAAAAAAAAAATTTTAATATTCTTTTTTCTTTTTGTTTGTCTCAGGTATTAAAATTACGTTTTCCAGAAGATTTACGTGTACAAACAATTGTTGAATGTTTACAATCATCAACACCAGTTATGATCGATATTGCACAAAGACCAAATGTAACTGAACAAGAAGTTATGGAAAATAATGAACGATATTTATTTAGTGTTGCTCAAAGAACAATGTCATTACCATTTGGAAGGTTTCGAACAAAAAAAAAATATATATCAGATCTTTTTTAATGCAAAAAATTTTATTGAATTTATTTTTTTAGAGGTGCATTAACACTTGGTACTGTCTATGCATCACCACATGATGCTTTCATTATACCAGAATTAAATCTTAAAGGACGAGTACCATCATCGTATGTATTTTTATAATTAATTTTATATTTTAAATTTTTTTCGAGATAAATCAAGATTTTCTTTCCTAAAAAGCAATAGATATTAGGATGTCAGTTTATTTTCAAATAAAATGAATATATTTTTTTAGATAATACTTTATTTAAAAAGTTCAAATGTAAAAAAAAAAAAATTAATCAAACTATATTAGATGAAAATTATTAATAGGTTAATTGTTGGTTTATATCTGTGTAAATCGAGTTAGCATATTTCTTTTTTTGTTACATTATCTAATTCTCTTTTACTCGTGTTAAATTGTTGAGAATGTCTTATTCAACTTCATTGAATAAGATAAAGCTTAAATTCACCAAAGAAGTTGGTGTAGTTCTATTCTATAAATATTGATAAGATAATCTATTATCACATATTATTTTTTTTTAGTACTGTTATTGTAAATATGACACATATTGAAGTTCCACAAAATATAACACATTGGCCATTATTTCATAATGGTGTTGCAGCATCGTTAGCTATAAATCGACATGCATGTGATATGGGTGATAATTGGATACGTTCACAAATACTTAAAAATAATGATATTACAAATGAACAAGCTGGATTTTTATATGGTCTTGGTTTAATAGGACATTTTAAAAATTTACCTAAATCATTAATTTATTCATTATTACAAAAAGCAAATGAATTAACAATGATGGCATCATTACTTGGAATTTGTGTATCTAAGTAATTAAAATGAATAAATCATAATGATTAAAAATGTTTTTTTTTTTTTTTTTGTTTTATTCTTTTTTCTTTTTAAGTTATAAATCAATGAGTTTAACATTAACAAGTCTATTAACAATCTATATAAAAAGTATGTTACCGCAAACATTATTCGAATGGGAAGTACCATTTGGTGTACAAATTTGTGGAATTATGGGTCTTGGTTTACTCTATGCCGGTAGTGGTGATCGATATATTTCAGATATTTTACTTGCTGAAATAGGAAAACTACCTGTCAGGTATTGAAAAATCATTTAATATGCATTCGATTTATTAACAATTACTAACAATAGATTAAAAATATGAGAAAGAGAATCATCGTTAGTAGAAATGAAGAAGGAAATAATTATTGATTATATTCTGTTTTCTTGTGAATACTCGAAATTCGTCATTAAAGAGATAAACCGATCAGTTGAGCCGCAGTCACCACTGGTCAATGCATCAGGTTACCCTCTATTCGCCATATAATAAATAAAGATGGAATTCAAAAAACTATTTGTTGAATATGAATGTTTAAAAAATTGATCGTTTAATACAAATGTCAATTAGTTGAATTTTTTAATTATCGCTACTAAAATTACTTTAGATATAAATCCAGCAGTCATTTTTTTTTTTTGAGTATAAAAAATTTTTATTTTTAGTACTGGTGAAAAAGAAATGGTTATTCTTGAACGAGAAGCATATGCATTTACATCTGGTATTGCACTTGGTACTGTTTTATTTAAAGTAAATAAATTTCTTTTATATTTTCATATTATTTTCCTTTTTTTTTTGTTTTGTTAGAAAGGACTTCATAATATAAATTCTAAAGAAGATTTTTTTACAAGTGCTCTTTTAAGTTATATTATTGGAAAAGAACGTGTTTATTCATTTGGTTCACTTCGTACACATATACAAGTACATGAATATGGTTCAATGAATGCTAATATAACAGCAACTGGTGCAATGATTGCACTTGGTCTTACTTATTTTAATACAAAAAATAAGTTAGTTTGAAATTTTAATATTTATTTATTAATATCATAGAGTTATTAGAAATTGTACTATGTTCAATAATATAGAGAGAAAAATTTAATTAAATCTTTTCTTTTCTTTCTAATAATAATTTTAGTAAAATAAATGAGTAGATATTAATTTTAAAATTTTATTTCATACTAAACATATTTGATAATTTTCTCAGTAAATAAATTTTGTAAGTTTAATTTCGAAGATTTGATAGATAACTTCTAAAGATTTTGCTGATGAAAAATTAGTGAAGATTGAAAGTAATATATTGATTCTGACTTTTTTCATGAGTTTCAATGTTTACATGGAAATGAATTTTTGATATACATTAGTTTCAATAGTAAACTCATAATTAAATAAAAATCTGCTAGTTTAACCTTGATTTACTAACAAGAATGATAATTTATTTCGATTATTTTCGGCCCATGTGCATTGTTACATGAAAGCTAGACATGTCACTTTTTCGTTTTACTAAACTTAACCATTCTGAAAATTAATTTACAAAAAAACTTTTATTTTTTTCCTCAAAGACTACACATTTAAATTAAAAGATTTCTTCGATGATCGATATTAGACAACATACAGATTCAGAATATCTACTGGGTGTGCCTACCAAGTAGTTTATTCTTGTCAAAAATTAATTTTCTCATCGATACCAATGTTGCTAGACTAATTTTTGAATTCCAATTGTTCCACTTTGGCAAGAATTTTGTATGCTATTAGATAGAACATTTCTCAAAGTATATTTATCACTATTTGAATCGATGAAAGGATGACTTTAGTTTTTTTTTCCATCGAATATCTATCTGGATGCACACTTCTCTTGAGTCGATGTATACAATAATTTTGGATTATAAAGAAAAAAAAGTTGAATTTTTGACTTCTTAATAACTAAAATAATATTTTATTTTAGAGATATAGCTGAATGGTTTACACCGAATGATATTATGCGATTAATAGAATTAATTCGTCCTGATCTTCTTCTTTTACGAGTAAGATAATAAAATATTCAAATTACTTTATTATAATTATTTTCTTTTATTATATTTTAAGACTGTTGTTTATAATTTAATTTCATGGGAAAGTATAACAAATACAACAGAATGGATAGAAAAACAAATTCCAGTAGCATTAAGTAAAAATGCATTTCAAACAAAAATATCTTTAAATACATTTGATGCCGAATCAATAACACAAGCATATTGTTATCTTGTTTCTGGTGTATGTTTTAGTTTAGCATTAAAATATGCTGGTACATGGAATGAACAAACAGCAAATATTATTGTAAGTTTTGGGTTTTTTTGTTTTGTTTACGTTTAATAAAAATTAAAAACAAAAAATGTGATTTTTGTTTTCTCTAGAGAACTTATTTTAAACAATTTCAAATTTATATCGATCGTTCAGCAGATGTTGAAAATGATCCAGATTATTATGCACCAGATACTATAACACTTGAATTTGTTATATCAACACTTGTACTTTCACTTGCTATGGTTAGATAAAATTGATGTGAACATTTTTTTGTTTAATTAAATAGGTATTTGTTCTTTTCTTTTTTTAAGGTTATGGCTGGTAGTGGTGATTTACAATTATTAAATCTTTTACGAGCATTACAAACACGTGTTGGACCTGATCGAGCACATGTTACATATGGTTCACATGTTGCTGTAAGCATGGCATTAGGTTTATTATTACTTGGTGGTGGACGGTAAGAATTTATTTTATATTTTTAAATATTTAATTATATTATTTGAATTTTTTTTTTTTAATGTTAGATATGGTTTACGAAATGATGATGATGCTATACCAATTCTTTTAGCTGCTTTTTATCCACATTTTCCAATGAGTAGTAACGATAATCGGTATGAAAATAAAAAACAAACATTTATCTGCTGAAGCTTACAAAGCAAGAAGTTCTAAGAATTTTATGATCGCCGGATTTGAAATATTCCTTTTTTAGACTTTAGTTCTCTAGAAGTTTTGGGTGTAATATATAGTGACTTCTCTAAATTATTCATCTAGATTTATTTTCAATTCATTGTATATCATGGAAAAATAAGTGAAGTTTACAATAAATCTTGACCGGTCTATGAAGATTAGTCGTTATGTAAAATAGTCGAGAAGAGAGGTGAGTGAGGACGAAGTCCGTATTTCACTCAGATCCAGCTATTCTTCTATAGCTAGACTTTCTTGCTAATGATTTATCATTTCTTATTCTTCTTCTTCTCTTTCTTCAGAGTACGAATTAAAATTTTTGATAAATAATTTTTTTTGTGTTATTATAATATTCTCGACTCATTTTTGCTCTCTCTCGATCTTGACAAAATACATTTCTGTCTTTCTTATTCCAACGTTAACCTAAAACACCCATGTTTCACGTTTGTTCGCATTATCAATGATATACTGTAATCAGAAGATAGCCGACCGTTTAATAATTTAAATTATCGTGAATGTTTTGTTTTGTTTGTAATTTAGTTTTCATTTACAAATTTTTCGTCATTTATATGTAATGGTATGTGAATCACGTTTATTGATTACAAAAGATGTATCAACTCAACAAGTATGTTCAGTTAATGGATATTTATGGATTAATGATAATAATCAAATAGAAAATTTTCGTACACCATGTTTTTTACCAAATTTTATTTCAATAAAAAAACTTGAAATAAATGATACAAATTATTGGCCAATTATTTATGAAAATGATGAACAAATTCAACGTTTAAAACAAATGTTAAGTCGTGATGGTCTTTTTTATGTACAAAAATCTTCAATATTATCATCATTAACATTAAAAACGACTTCATCATCACTTGTACAACTTTTATCAAGTAATGAATCATCATTACGTACATGGTTTCATGCATTACAATTATATTCTGGTATACAACGTATTATAACTGAACCAATTAATAATCGTCATGTTAAAGAAATTCATGCATTAATATCATTTTATGAAAAATATATATCAATTAAAAATTTAACACATTCAACTGATACAGATGATATTATTTTACGTACACAATTTACAAATATACTTTTTAAAAATATATCAAGTAATTGAAGAATTTCAATTAATATTTTATTTTTTGGTTTTTCTATTTTAGAAATGAAAGGAGATTTACTTGTTGCTTTAAAAAATCAACATGATCCAAGAAGATTTGCCTTATTATTACCTATTCGAGAATGGTTACCAGGATTAAATGAAGAGAATTTATTATCTCTTCTAGGTAAAAATTAATTTCTAACTAAACTCCTCGACACATTACAGAAGACTCAGAACCTTCTATTAAATCACTAAAAACAAGAGTCATATTTTTTGGTAGTCTCATCCTATAGAGGATCGGTTGAGATATTTCTTATTTTATTATTATAATCAAAAAAACTTATTTTTACATTTTTTATATATATTTTTTCTTCTATTCAGATACGACTAGGCCAGCGAAATTGATTCGTTATGCCGTTAATCTTGGACTTGATTGTGAATTAGCATTATATTTGCTTAATGGACCTTCTTAAATTAAATTTTTCATTTTCTATTTGTTAATATGTGATATTATTATTTTTTTTTCTTCTGTCGTATTCGATACAATAGGAAAAAGTTTATACTTCGATATATTTTTTTTTCATTCTTATTAAAATAAACAAAAAACAATAAATCTGATCAAGAAAAAACAGCATATTTTTCAATAGTTCTTTTGTTACATACAATCATATTCCATACATTATTATACAAGGTAGTCCATGAGTAGCTTTATGATAAACATAATAAAATTTCTATCTTTTACAATATTGAAGATGATCTTAATCGATCCATATGTACATAGATTGATTGTGTGTTTCGTTGTGCGATGCATGATTGCTTTGTCTCTCTTGCTGCTATATAAATTTCTATCTTTTAATAAGTACAACGAAGTACGAGCAAGAGTTACTTTTCCTTGCATTTTACTATCCTTGTTGGTGCTCGTTTTTATAGAGGTTTCGAAATTTTAGATTCATGTTATGACCTGTAAGGTCATAAATGTCTTATGAAAAAAAAATCTGAAGTTTTCTCTGTCAAAGAAAAGTGGTTACACCATGAGTCAATTACAGTATACAATTCGAAATGCGAATTGAGAAACAAAGAAAATAACAATAGTAACTGTAATATAGTAGAATCATTTCGATCGTTGATAAAAAACATTATTTTGACGTTATACAAACAATAAAAGATAACATTAAAACATGAATTTGTTTTAACATAAATAATAAGACCTAGAGCAATGAAAAAATTTCATAAATAAATCAACAATTGATTTTTTTTTTCCATTCTCATAGTTTGACATTTTATGTTATCAACGATTTTCATTATAAAAATAAATCAATTGTTGATTTTATGTATTAAATTTTTTCGTTGCACTAGATCTTATTATTTATCATTTTGACGTTGTTGACCACAATGATCTGCATGGCTTAGTCAAAACTGCACTAACATTAATTATCATTGAACTATACAATATGATTAATTATATCAAATTAAAGATGATTCTATTTATCAAATAAACAAATTGTTTTCTGTTCTAAATACTTTTATATATCAAATTCAATCAGTAATAAAGAAAGATGTAGATAGACATCTTTTGGAAAAGTTCTAATGTCTATTCAAAAATTAACCATTTTACATGAGTACAGTTATATCATGTTGCACTGCTTGTAAAGTTCTCTATTGAAATTTTTCAATGGATCATAAGCGATTCTTAATTAAAATAGACTTGTCATTATTTGCAGTAAAAATTGCACTGAATAATCAATATTGGTCAGCATAAAACTAAGGATAATCAGCTCGAGATATTCAACTATTATAGAAGATTTATCTCGAAATTTCACATTCGATAAAGAAGTCGTCCAACTTAATTATGATATTTTTCGATATCAACATGAGAATTTAAATAAGAAGACACTTCAAATTTTGTAGATGATCCTAGAAAAAATAGAAATCTTCATGTATACATTTATTGGCAATTTATTTGTGCAAAAACTTCCTAAGGTTAATTGATAGAAAAATAGGCTACATGTTTGTATTCTTATCAAGAATATAATCTTTCTTTGTGTACAGTATTTATTTCCTAATTATAACAACTGAAATATTCTATTCGATTCTTAACTAATTATTTCGATGTATCGAATTATTATGATCGATACTATTCGTTTGTTTGGAAAAAAGATAATTAAATTAGACATAAACACATTCAATCGAGTCAATTATTTGAAACAAACATCAACTAAATAAAGACAATTATCAAAATAAAATATATTAATACATAATTTAGTAAGATATGAAAAAGAAAAGTAATTGATACTTAATTATGAAATGACAAATCTGATGAATACTCGAATATTATAAATATTCAAACAAAAAAAAAATTCAGATATTTGAATATACATTAGTAATATCATTCTTCATTAACCTATTATTCGAAAATATTCCATACAACACCACCTTTCGACATACTCAGAGAATTTATTTGTCTTGTTTGTATATGAGGTATGATATCGAATATCGTTAAGGATGCAACAAATCTAGAACAGATTTGGGATTTGACGGCTTGCGTTTGGATTTAGTCCCAAATCCAAATAATACCAAATTCCAAGGCTTTGGATTTGTTGCATCCCTAAATATCATAGACCATCTATTGATACAAAAATCATTTATAATAATCATGTAAATAAACCTTATCACATGTTCTCCAACAAGAATAAAATGAAAACCAAAACACAAAAAAAAAGATACTTGATATCTATAAAGTGGGTAAAACAATAATAAAACAAATATAAAAATAAAGAATTCAAAATATAATCAATATAAACAGACGGGCAACAAGAAAAGATAAGCTTTCTTGTTATCACTTTTTCTTGAATTTTTCAGTAGAACAAATAAACAATGATGTCATATTGACTTGGTGGTAAACGTGTTCATCATTGAGTAAATGTCAATGCAGCTGATCTAAATAGTTTTTCCACCGAAGCACTAATTGCTAGTATAGCATGTACTCTTCTAGATACTATTCATAATAATGGAAAATTACGATACATTTCACTAGTAGATCAAAATATCATTATGTCACTATCGATTAGGTGACTTAAGTTTCCTACAGAACTCAAATATTATCCTTCAAATCCTGCATTCTAAAAAATAAAAAAGATTATCCTGCTCTTGTACTGCAAGATATATGTAGAACAAAGTAGGTTATCTATAGGGTAGGTCATGTAGGACACGTATCCTGCGGTGTACTTTGATACACGTTTCATAGACATGATTTCATGGATAAAACATTTTACATAGTGATAAATTTAAGATAATATATCGATCAAGTATTTGATATGAAATTTCATAAATATTATCAATATCAATCGATGATATCAATATAAATTTGAGAACATTAATGAAGATAGAATCTGATATTAAAATGTCCAATCAGTGTTTATTTATAACCACAAATGAATAGAGAATCATCAATATTATCAAATTTCCTCAAAAATATAATAAGTAATATCTCATTAGATAGATTCTTGCTTCAATTCTGTATATTATCTCTTATATAAATATTACTATCTACGTATATTGTTTTTTTTCTTGCTTTCTAATCATTGCCGTCAATCAAAAAAAGAAAACAATGAATGACCTTTTCGAACATAAATTTAGTATAGATTTTTAAAATTTAATCTAATCCTAGATGAATAATATTATTTTGTTGATGATTTCCAACATGTTTATCGTCATAAGAGTATGTTTATCTATCCCAAAACAGAAAAAAAAGACAACCAAGGTCACAAACATAAAAAGAACTGTTTTACATACGGATGTTAGATAAATGATATTTAGATAAGACTATATATGATGTACTATAAAAAGTAACATCTGTCTTGAAATAAAAAAAAAACGGTCGATAAAGTTAATCTCTTTATTATTTATATTGTTCAAAATCATTTCTCATTACATACAAATTACTTTTAATATTAATCGATTCTTTGAATGAAGATCTTAATGATGATTAAGTATATACATATTATTCTAATCTTATTAAAATTTGATTATTTTTTTTGCATTATATAAATACTCATTATGAAAAAAAAAAATTTGTTATTATTTCAATTCTGTATCATAAAAAAAACAAAAAATAGTCGACGTTTCTCGAAGTTTTATTTGATAATAGATGATAAGAAAAATTGTGTATGACATTTGAAAGTAAAGTACATTTTGAGAAGACAAAATAAAAAAAAAGGAATTTATTACCAATAATCTAAAACAATCAAGTTGTTATTTTGGTAATCGTATTCAAAATTTTTTTGTCGAAAATAATAGATAATTTTAATCTTCTATGTAATATATAAAGCTTTTTGAATAAAATAAGTATCAGATGAGAATAAAAAACAAAGCGAATGATTTAATAATAATCTGTATTTATTTAAGAGATGTAAAAATAATATATTTATGTTTATATAAAAAATGAATTAATTGTTGAAAATGTATTTAAAAGTTCATTAAAAAATGTATTATGAGAATCAAAAAAAAGTCTAAAATAAGACATTTCTAAGTTTTATTGAACTTCATTATATTTAAGTCAATAAAACTTTAATAACATAGTGTAATTAATAGGATGATTTTATAGGGATTTTTTATCGTGTCTAGACTTTGGTTTTCTTTAAATTTTAGTAAAATGTTTACTATCAAAAGATGAATCCAGAGTTGTACATTAAATCTAAAGTTCTAATAAAATCTTTTTATTTTTCATATTAACTTAACATGTCCATCTATTAAATGAACTATTTTTATTTACATAAAATTCCTAAGAGTATAATAGAACAATAATACAAAATTATTATATTTTTATAATTAACATGACTTATTTTTTGTCATCTATAGCATCAATGGAGATAATAATGGTAATTCATCAAAAGTTTCTAACATAAATGTATTATCATGAATGCATAGCATTAATAATTCAGACTATTCATTAGTAAATATATTAGTGTTATATATCAAGTTAACAAGTATATTTAATGAATCAATGATAATAATTAAATACAAATGAAAAATTTTCTTATATCATGTTGTTCACTAAATTTTATTTCCATACAAAAAAATTAAAATAAATTATATGAGTTAATTAGTCAATTCTTTATGGAAATGATAATTTTTTTTTCTATTTACAAAATCTTCAATATTATCATTAATATAACGATTTCATCATCTCTTCTACAACTTTTATCAAGTGATGAGTCATCATTACGTATATAATTTCATGCATTAGAACTTTATTCTGATACGCAATGTATTGTAAATATATCAATTAGTAATCGTTATATTAAAAAATAAATGTATGTATTTATTAAAAAGAAATTTTTTTTTTTCGTTTCAATGCATTATAAACATAAGAGAATTTACTTGTTTCATCTTGTCGTTATCTATTCGAGAAAGGTGATTGAGAAATGACATAAAGAAAAAAAAAATATATATATATATATACTATCTCTTTTAAGTAAAAGTTTAGTTTTGATTCTTTCTAGAATGTCATTATTTATCAAGAAAGAAAAGGTTTCATTAATATGACATGAATATATATATGCAGAGTCCCTGTAGAGATTAATCTTTTTGTTTCATTTTCTTTTGATTTTGAGATATTTTTTAATAAATCCAGGAATTTGTCGTTGTTTTTTTTCTTAAATATTTTTCTTTATGATGACATATGACTGTTAATGATGATTCGAGAACTCAAAGAAAAAGAAAAGCATTTTATCATGAAATGAAGTGTTATAAGAATAGTCACTCGAAGCTGACATGTGTTGAAGTACGTCTATGTAGAAGCTATAGTATTTTTTTTTTTTAATTAAGTTATAACTATATGACTAGAAATTCTTATAGAATTCCCTTGAGATAGCATTCTAAACTCATTTTTTTTTCTTTTTTGCTTTCCTCATTTTTGATTTTCTTTTGAACATTTGAGATTTGCATCTATCGAGTATAATATATTCAGTTGTGAGATTCTTCTCTGTCAATATGATTAGAGATAAAATTCATATCTTTATATTTATTTTTTACATATTTAGATAAAATATTTCTAATTCGACAGATTCATTTTACTGTTAACCTTGAGTTCGACTATGCCGTAGTGTACTATATTTACTCAATGAAACGTTAAATTCAGCCTTTCATTTTTTCTTTTTTTATCGATGTATGGTTATATTTTATTCTTCTTTCGTACTCGATATACAACAGGCAAAATGTTTATACTTGATGTATTTCGTTTTTTTTTTTTTTCTTTCTTTTTTTGTTAGCATAAAGAAATAAATATACTAATGATCACATTGACATGCTTGGTGTGACGTCGGTAATATTGGATGAGCGTGTAGACAAAATGTTTATTATCAGTTAAGCAGAACGATAACAACTACGTTATATTACCGAATATTGTCATTTTGATTGGTATTTCTCTTCAATCACTCGATTTCTTTCTTTTTTTACATAAGCAAAAAGAAAAAAAAGCAAATGACTTAAAAGCTTCAAATAACCATTGAAGCGAGACGCAAATGCATCGACATGAGACGAACGATTCGATATAGGTGTAAAGAGAAAGGACATCTACGAAAAAAAAAAAAAGAAACGAACTACTCAATGGTATTTAAATAACATTATGTGTAATGTATGATATTATCCCACTAATTATTTTAGATAATTTCTCTTTAGAAAAAGAAAAAAAAATAGATTAGTTTATTATCATAGTAGACTTTATAGAAAATTTATTTTATTCTTATTCATAAAATAGACAAATCAATACGAATATAATATGATTATTAGTGAAAAGTGTCTTTGTTTGGCAGGATTGTAAATGATGTATTAACTGTCTCAATAAACGTAACTATTCATATGACAATGTATTTCACACGTCATCCTCAATGAAAAGATATGTAGATGAGAAAGAAAAAAGCTTATTAATAGATGAGTTTGATAATGGTGAGATTAATATAGAAGAAAAAAATCTTCATTAGATGAGTATAATCCTTGATAAAGAAAATTACAGGTATTTATATACTTTTTTTCCGTTTTTCCTCTTTTTTTTTCTCTGGATAGGAGTATTCAGGCATTCTAGATTTTCTTTTGATGATGTTCTCAGACTAGTAATTTAAATTGTGACAATGACTATATGAATGAAATGCGCCACTTTCTCACTATGTAAGCTTGTTCGCACTTCCATTATTTGATTGACATGGTTTTTTGAAGACGTAAGAGAAGAAAAAAACAAAAATGAAGAATTATGTGTGATGTGTGTTTTTACTCGTGAATATGCCTTTGTATGACATACAAATGAACATACATACATAAAAGTCGTCTGACAACAAACGTGAAATTCTTTTTTTATTTCTATGTTTGTTGTATGCTTAAGAATCAAAAAAAAAAACGCAGCACAGTTTCACAATTATTTATTAGTCTTATTGAATGAATATATAATCAGATCAAGTTATCATTGATGAACAATGAAATTTTCTAAATTTTCTCTAACGTAAGTAAATAAGATAATAAAAATATCATTCATGTATCAGTTGTTTATTTTTTTTTGTTTTTTTCGAAAGTAATCTAAGTACAAAAAAAAGAAACCTTTCATATCAAAACATAACATATTAGATATCAATAAGAAAAGATTTAAAAAAAAAAAAACTTGTCCTTATTGACATTGCTTTTTTTTTCAAAAAAATGACTGAATAACCAGGTATTGTTTTCTTTTTTTTAACTTAACATGAATTCATTACAATTTGTTTGTATTTATTAATTTCACTTGCTGACTTCCTTTTTAATTTTGTCTGACAAGTTTGTTTTTTTTTGCTATTCTTCTTTTCTCTTCTTTTTCTTTTTTCTTTTTTGTTCTCAAACAGCCGACATTTTTTACAAGAGAAATAAATATGCCTTTGTTCTTCACTTAATACATTGCATCAACATTATTTTATAAGTTTTAAACAAATTTTATTCAGGTACATTTCTAACCATAAAATAAAAAAAAAACATATCTTTCATTAGAAATCATTCAATATTCAAAGATTATTAATATAAAAAGAAAATCATTTAAAATGGCTCTTAAAATTAATCATCATTATTATACAAATATATCATCAGCTATTTCAACTAATCCAAATTATATTTTACATCGTACAAGTGATTTATTAGTCAATATATATCTATATTATATATTAATCTTTATGTTCATTTATATTAATTATTTTTTTTTAGATACCTCTTTCATCTAAATCATCATTTATTGAAATGTCTTCAAGAAAACAGTCTTGGGCTAATTTTATAAATGACTCGTCTACGCAAATTGTTAAAGATGAAACATTAGATTGGGATGTAAATGGTATTCCATCTCCACAAATAAATGATATTGATTATACAATTGTTGATTCAAAAATTGAACCATTTCATCCTAAAAATTATCTATCAATTCGAACAACACCTATTGAAAAATCTAATATTGATATTAATAAGCAAAAAAAGAAAACAGTTACTGTCAAATGTAAGTAATAGGTTCTTTTTTTTTTTGCTAGTTTAAGTATTAAGATACGAACAAAAAGAAATGAAACCTTTCTATTCATTCGAAATATCATTGATTTCTTTCTGTAAATTTACAAAAGAAAAAAAGAAAGAAAAGTTCTTTTTTTTGTAATGTTTCTTATTTTTCTCACGGTTTTTTTTGTGTCTTTTGCGTATGTTTTGCCATTACTCTTGTCTTCACCACCTTCATGAAAATTATTATTTGCTCTATAGGATGCCAAAGGAAAGAACACGATGACTTGCCATATGCATCCATACCCACCCCTTGTCTAACCAGTCGTAAGCAAAACCAACGAAAATGTTGTTAGGCAGACTGATTCTCTTTTTTTCTTCTCCTCCTCTTTTCTTCTTTTTTTTTCTTCATCGTTTCTGCCGTCGTCCTTCTTTCCATACTTTATAACAGCTACATGTTACTTGTGTATGTACGCTCACACAACCCCCCGTTTTTTTCTCTCTCGTCCTTCTGACATCCAATCATCGATGTAGCAGTATCGTCATCAGCAGCGTCCACTTTTTCTTTTTTTCGTAGACTGTCTTGTTTTTTTTTTTTTTTTTTTTTTTTTTTTTCTTTCTATTATGTATATCGAATAGGTAAAATCTAAGCAAAAGAGTATGTTCAATATGCGTTTTGCATCAATATATGAGCTATTAATTGAACTCTATAGAAGAAATGTACGCACAGACATGTGTTCATTCGTCCTATTTCGTCAGAGGTCATGCAGCCCGTGACCTGATAGAATAAAGAACGAATAAGAATACTTATATTGTTGTTCATATGAGAAAGAAAAAAAAAAACAATATTTATTAGATATAAATTTAGCGTTTATCATAATGTCTTGAAGAAAAAGAAAAAATTAATGGTTTTTTTTTTTTGTCGAACAGTTCTCATGAACTTCGATATGTTATTTTTCTATAATATTCTATTATTGAATAGAAAATTGAATTTTCGAGATGAGTAAATAAAAATAAGAATCAAGTACAAATCATGGATCTATGAAAGAATGTAAAAAATCTTCTTAACATTATAGATGACTCTGAATACATCGTATTTTCTTTCTTTTTTTGCGTTCTTTTTTCTTTTTACTTTCTTGATTTTTTCTTTTTTTATATTATACTCTTTATAATCATCGTTTTACACATTATACGAATCTATATTAACCTTAGATCATATCGTCCTTGTGTTTTTTTCTTATCTCAAAACAAAAAAATAATGTTCAATAATTAGATATGTTGACTATGTCAGGATCAGGAAATACGCAGACAAATTTTGATCGTGGATCAACTTCAATATCTAATACAACATCATCAACAATTAAACAACAACCATTTAGTCCACCACCTTATCATCCACTATCAAATGGGTTTTTTACTCAACATCATCAACGATCAACACCATCACCTGATAATGAACAAATATCACCATCATCAAATAATCTAGTTGAAACATCTTCAACATCATCTAATTTAATTCCACCATCGGCAGCAGGTGGAGGTTGGTAGAAAAATTATAACCAAAAGAAAAAAGAAAAAAAAAAAGAAAAGATCCGATATTTATTTTTATCCATGGGGGAAAAAATAAATAACTTCTACTGCTTGTTTTTTTTTATACGGGTTAAACGCTTCAATGGTTAAGTGCTTGATGAATAGAGTATGACACTTTTCTATCTATGTCATATTAATAGAATCAAACGCTATACTTGGCTTTATCAAATAGCAATGATAACTTCTAAAGGTGTTGTAATGGGTTTTTTTTCTTTAAGTCAACCTTTTTTCAATTACAATAACCTTCAACTGATTTCTTTTTTTTTTTGATATAGAAGAAAAATATTTTCCTATTGTTTTTTTTTTTGTTATGAAGTATTATTAGTCAATTCTATTATTCATATATTTTTATAAAAGCAATTTTTAATCAATGATATTAATTATTCTCTAGAGAATAAGTCTTTTTATTGTTACTTTAATATCGAAAAATTTATTTATTAATTTATTTTTTTTATTATTTAGCTCCAATACCTTCGGAAGATAAACGTCGTTGTGTATGTATAAATAAAAATAAGTTAATTTTCTATATAAATTTTGTTTTATTTAGGCTGTATGTAGTGATATTGCTTCTGGTTATCATTATGGTGTATGGAGTTGTGAAGGTAAATATATTAATATTTTATTTATTGGAAACATTATGAACAAAGACAACAAAAAAAAATAATAATAATTTCCTTTTTTTTTTGTTTTGTTTAAGGATGTAAAGCGTTTTTTAAACGAAGTATTCAAGGTACAAATGAATATATTTGTCCGGCAACAAATACATGTACAATAGATAAACATCGTCGAAAAAGTTGTCAAGCATGTCGTTTAAGACGATGTTATGAAGTCGGTATGACCAAAGGTACAACACGAAGAGAAAGAAAATATCGTAAAAAAGCTGTATCAGTTTGTAAAATTACATCAACATCATCAAATTCAAATGCTACAAATAATTCAATTAGAAATAATCAAGAACATGGACTTTTAGTAACAACTACTGATACACCACCAACAACTGGAACACCATCAGCATCTCAATTAAATAATAATAATAATAACTTTTCATCATCACAAGCACAAGCAAATAAAGTATTATTAAACAGTCTTCGGTTTTTTTTTCTATACGTATTTTTTTAAAAAAAATATTTAGACAACTTCTGACTCATTACGTATCCCAATAGCTCCAGCTGATTTTATTGCTACACTTTCTCAAGCATCTCGTCTTAATTTACCATCCAAAGCCGATACTAGTCGTCCATTAGATGATCAATATTTTCTTCAATTACTTGCAAAAATTTTCGATCAAGAACTTGTTGTTCTTATTAATTGGGCTAAAGCAATGCCAGGTATTTTTTTTTTTGTTTTTCTAAAATTCTTCTTCGAAATAATATTTTTGTTCTTCTTTTTTTGTCTAAATATCTTATTAGGTTATACTGAAAGTTTAACTCTTGATCAACAAGTAACAATTATCGAACAGAGTTGGTTAGATACTTTACTTCTCGATATAATCGAACGATCATTAGAACGAAATGATGATACATTACATTTTGCACCTGATTTTATTATTTCACGGTAAAAACAAATGACTGTTTTTAATCATTCTTTTTCTCTGAGTATATATTTATATTTACTTTTCTTTCGTTTTTTTATCTAGAAATCGTACTTTATCAAGTCCAGGCATCGGTGCCATATGTACAAGTTTATTTAATATTCTTCAAGCATTTAAAGAACCTCGTACAACACATGAAGAATTTATTGCACTTAAAGCTGCAATACTTATTAATTCAATACCAGCAACAATAACAACAACAAAATCATTTCGTTTATTAACAAATCAAATTTATCAATCAATACAACATGCATGTGATTCAAATCCAAGTATTTATCAAGATAATTCTATACGATATTTTACATTATTATTACAATTACCACATATTAAAATGTTAAGTTCAAAATTAATAAGACTATTTTTAGATATGCGTGCAAATGATTTATTACCACAAGCTGATCTTTTATTAGAAATGCTTGACGCACAAGATGCATTTGATATAAATAATTGTTTTTTATCATTAAATCATGATGTTAATAGTTTATCATCACAAACATCAAATTTTAGTCAAAATTTAACATCAAATAATAATAATAATAATAATAATAATGCAACATCAGTGATGCAACCATCAACACTAAATAATTCTAAAATTCAATCTGATTGTTCAAATTCAATTAATTATAATAAAAAACAACAACAACAACAACAAGATGATAATGAAACAGCAAATATCGATGATCCACATTGTAAGTGAAAACAAAATTAAAAATTTTATTTGACTTTTATTTTAAATATTGGAACAAATATTTTTTTGGTAGAATAAATTTTAAATATTTAATCATAATTTATGAGTAAGAACAATGATTGATAGAACTTCAGTTACATGTTATTCGCTTCCTTTTTATATCTTCTCATTATGTAGGACAAAATTGACAGTCTATGGTAGCTGAGATGTAGTCTTTTACAATAAAAGCAATTTTATCATATGTCAAATTGGAATTATGTTGATAGGATTTTTTTTAAAAATTAAAATGCAAATAAGAAATCATTTATTCTAGGTCAAATGAATTATCGAATGACATCATCATCACCAATGGTATTTGCCGCAGCAATGCCTGCAAAACGTTCACCATCAACTCCACCTACACAATATTATAAACCAGCTCGAACTGAATCTATCCCAACGCCACCACCAACTAGTATGCATTTCCCAATGAATAATTCATCTTATTAAATAATGCTCAATCAAAATCTTTATTTCTCATATTAAACGTGCCATAGATAGATTTATATATATATATATATATGAATATAAATAAAGAATTCTATTTTTCTCGTCAATTTACGAATGAAATTTTACAACAGTATTCATTTATTTGCTCATATGAAAAGAAAAAGAAATATGTATCTCAATGCTCAATAATCATCATAGAACTCCAGCTATTATTATTATTATTATTATTATTATAATCGTTCATTATGGAACGTATGAAAAAAAAATTTGCTTTTGTTTTCTTTTTTTTTTTGTCATGTGTTGTGTAATATTCTTCAAAAACAAACAAAACAACATGTTTATATGCTTTTATGTTTTGTGTATTAAACCCGGTTTTTAACACCATCTCGGTGTTTTACTTTTTTCTTGTTTTCTCCTGTTTGCATTCATGTTTTCTATTTTTTTTTGCTCTGTTTGTGATTATGTTGAATGCACGTGATGTATGTTGAGTTGACAGATTAATTCATTTGTATTAAAATACGTATGACAGACTCAATGTATTGTCTAAATTTCTTCAAATTCGATAAAAAAAATAACAACATAGAAAAAAACCAACAAAGACGAGGAAATCATATTGCTAGAAAAAGAATTTTTTTTTTGAAATATTTTTTATGAGTTTTTATATTATCACAATAGAGTACTTAGTGAGTGCCATTGATTAAAGCATTATATTCATAGTATTAATGCTTTTGTTTTCAAATAAGTTATTAAGTATCCATAATTAATGTGAATGTGATAATTTTTTAAGCTAAAAATAGGTACTCGTACGACGGAGGAGAACTCATAGAATTATGGAAACGGTGATCATCAAGTTAAAAAAATAAAGCGATAGATTCACGATCATAACTTCGATGATTATTAGCAGATCAAACGAATTTCTATTCATTGGTATATTCAAGTTATGAATGATGTTAATGAGAGTAGTAATAACAAAACTAAATAATGCTATGTATTATTATGATTACTTTTTTAAAGCTCTAAAAGAATAAAACTATATTATAATGAATTTTAAAAACTAATTGAAGAAAATATTAAAATCTTGTTTATGTAAGATGATTGCTGAATGAATAGACAATAATGTGAAAATATAATTTAACGAAAGATTTATGAGTAAAATCGAAAGCAGATGAATATTCTAAGTTGAAATTTTTTCTTATAAAAGCTTTTCATTTGTCGAAACTTTAATTAAAACGCATGTAAGACATATATGTATTACCATAATATAGAACCTTCCAAGAAAGAATATAACTATTTATATATACATATACATATAACAAACCCCATGCCCTTGCTTATGACAGGCGATAATTAAGACAACGAGTATTAGCAAAATGGTAAGTGTATATTTGTCCGACATATATTGAGTTGTTCTCATATCATTCAATTGTAGGCAATTCTATATGTTAGTTCTTAGTAATCTCTATCACGCTTACATATAGAACTAGTTTAAAAAAAAAATATCAATCAATAGCTATAATATTATTCTATTAATACAGTTAGTTTTGTCGTTCTTGTTCTTATTGGTTCATGACTACGGATACAGTAAAATGATGAAATTCTTTTTCTTATTTATTTATTTCGTTCCATTAACATTACAAAATGAAATTATTAGTCAATATAATAATAATTTTTCGGGTATTTTGTTTGAATTTATAAGAAAAAAAATATATATTGTTCGTATTTTTATTTTGTTTTCTTTCGTTAAGTCATTTTAAATTTAATTGATATTCCACAATTTATTGATCATGGTTGGATACCAGTTGTTGATACATCTAATACAATACTTACCGAAAATCTCATATCAACACTTGATATTGTTGATACAAATATTACTAATTTAACAAATCTTGCTGTTCGAACACCATTTTCTTGGAATTATCAAGCAGCGACTCTTGTTCTTATCAATATAAATTCAAAATTTACAAATATTTCTAGTAGAGAAAACTTTGTGTTTTTTGTTTTCAATTTTTTTTTCAATATTATTTCTTTTTATAGGATCTAATTTATTCAATACATTTATTCTTCTAGCAACATATCGTTCTGTTAGAGATGCATCAGGAACATTATTTTCTTTATTAGACAACAATAGAACATCTATATTTGAAGTAAAAATTAATACAAATATTACTGTAACTTATCATTATGATAAAAAAATAGAACAACTTATTTTTCATCACACAAGATTTGTAGCTAATGATGGATTGTAAGTTGAATGTCAATACTTTTATTCTTTTATTCAAAACAAAAAAAAAAGTTTTATTTTAGATGGCATCAAATTGTTCTTTTATTTGGATTTGAATCCGTTACACTTCAATTTGATGATCAGTTAGATGATGAAATTAAACTACCATTAAATACCATTCAAACATCAGAAATATTTGCTATACCAAATGTTGCTCTTTTGGGTTCAAATAATTATCAAGAATATCTAAATGATTCATTTTTTAAGGTAAAATTAAGAAACGGTATAACCAATTGTAAAATTAATTTGGTAAATTTTTCCTATCAGATATCTAATTTCGAAATGTAATATATCCCATTCAAGCTGTAACTTTCTATAGAAATAAATATATTATTAAACTTTCTGTATAAACTATTTATTATATTATTTCAGACATAATTTGTATAATAAAAATTAATATGAATAAGTATTTTACATACATTGTCTAAACTCTGTTCCATTGAGTTCATGATGAATGTGATATTGTACGGATTGCTTTTGTTTTTCAAAATAAATAATCGTTTAAAAATTTCATAGAAGATTAAATGACTAAAATGAATATTTTTTTATTGCTCTGAATCGCAACACAATTACTTACCTGGATAGAATTCCTTTTTCTGTTCTTTTTTTTTTATAAATGTTACAAATGTTTAGTCATCGATTCATCTTTATAATGTTTTTTTTTCTATTTGATTTATTTAAAAGAAAAAGAATTTTAAGATGCTGTGTATTTGGTCATACTTTAAAATTGTTAAATATAACAAAAGAACTAAACCATTATATTGATTAATAAATATACACGTTTGTTGGTGTTTAAAATTATCTCACGAAATTAGATAACATTCTCATATGATAATAAAATGTTCTTTATTCATTATTTTCAGGGTGATATTAAAGATATTCTTATCATTGAATGGGATCCATCTATCGATGAAAACAATCTTGTACCTAAAGCTATGAGAAGTTATCGTCAAAATCGAAAACTTCATCAAAAAGGACAACGTTTGAAAAATCCTTCAGTAAGTAATTTAACTATATATATATATCTTTTTAGTTATCAATTTGAATCTTCAATATTATTATGTATTTGATTTAAAAAGTTGTCAAAACAAACAGAACAATTTGAAATAGGACCATCAGGTCAACCTGGAAGATCTGGACGACCTGGTCTTAATGGACCAATAGGTGCACCAGGAGCTCCAGGCCATTTGATTGTTATTCCTGTATGTATTTAATATTTCATTTTACTTTTATTCATTTAAATTTTTTTCATAATCTTAGTCACCCATTCATGATGAGCATGATCCAGAATCTTTTGTCCGCGCAATGCAAGGAATACTTAATACATATACAGTAAGTATTGTATTCAGAAAAGAGAATGATCTTCTCTATAATTAATTCTTCAAATAGCATATTCTAACAGGTCGTCCTGGTGCACCAGGACGACCGGGTCTACCTGGTCTTATGGTAAATAGAAGTGTATTACTATAAAATTTATTGCTTGTTCTTTGTATGTTTCTTTCTAAGGGACAACAAGGTTTACGAGGCATCAAAGGAGACAGAGGCGAATGTAAGATAGGCTATGCCATTAATTTTCTACCTTTTTTTTGCAACTATTGTTTGATTGTTTAGCTGGACCATTAGGACCTCAAGGTGAAACTGGTCCAATTGGACCTCGTGGACCACCAGGACCACAGGTTTGCTTATTGTTTCTTTTTTGAATCTTCTCAATCATTACTCGTCTAATAATAACATTTGTAGGGTTCACGTGGACAAACTGGAAGCCGTTAGTAAAAAACACAAAAGATTAATAGACTTTATTCTATAAAATGTTAGTTCAAATTTATTTCTAGGTGGTAATCAAGGTCTTCCCGGTCCAAAAGGTGCACAGGTAAATAAATAGCTGATGTTTTTCTTTTTCTTATACTAGTACGTTGTCTTTCAAGGGACTACGTGGTTTTCCTGGGATTCAAGGTGAAAAGGGTAGTAAGGTAAGTTTTTGTACTAATAATAAAGAACATATTGGTTATTTTCATGTAAATAATTTATGTTTAGGGTAAAACAGGTCCTGTTGGTGATCAGTAAGTTATAGTAATTTATATATATATATATAGAAATAAATTATGATTTTATTGTAGAGGAGAGACAGGTCCCATAGGAGTTAAGGTAAGCATTAATTGACATTATTTCATATATTTCATTGTATCATCAAGGGCAATAAAGGTGTAATTGGACCACGTGGACCTCAAGGTAAGAAAAAAAATTTTTGTTCTTAATTTCAATGTTATGAGACGATATGTAGGACAAATGGGTTCACAAGGTTTAACTGGTCCAAAAGGTAACACGGGACTAATTGGTTTAACTGGTGAACAAGTCTGTATGAATATATTCGAACAATGGAGTTATATCATTTCTTTTAGGGAATACAAGGTCCTCAAGGTCTTAAAGGAGATAAAGGAGATAGAGGCGAGAAAGTACGTCGATTATTAATTTTCATTCATAGATTTCGATTTGTATATTTTCTTTAGGGAGTCATTGGTTTAACTGGTTCTATTGGTCCAATTGGACTTACTGGTTAGTGATAAGTTTTATTTTACATATTTATTTGTTCAATATTGTTTTTCATAGGTCTAAAAGGTCTGAAAGGAGAAGTTGGACCAACAGGATGTCAAGGTATTCAAGGACCACAAGTAATATTTATTCCTTCGATCTATTGTTTATTGATATGTAATGAATGTTTTTTTATCTTTCCATTCAAGGGACCTATTGGACCTCAAGGATCACCAGGTGACGTTGGTCAGAAAGGTGAAACTGGTGAAGTATGTATATAAATCCATTTGAGTCATATTCTATTATAGTCTTTTGTTTGTAGACAGGACCTAAGTGAGTATAAACAATTATTTTTCTATTCAACAGAATTATAATTATAATTTAAAGAGGAGATCAAGGTATCATCGGTCCAACGGTAAATAATCAATTCATTGAATATATATATATGTATTTTTCTTTTTATTATTTTCATCGTATAAACATTATTCTAGGGACCTAAAGGCATTATTGGTGAATATGGATTGACGGGTGAAAGGTTTGCGTGTATGCATAATCTTCAAAAATTCTAATTAATTGAACTTTTTCTTTCAGAGGTGTAAAAGGTCAGAAAGGTGAACAAGGATTAAAAGGTATAATAGGTATAACTGGTGATAAAGGAGACACAGGTGATGTTGGACCACAAGGGTATTTATTTAAAAGTTTCAATTGTTCAATTTATCTTGCTTGTTAAATTCTTTAGATTACAAGGACCAGTAGGTGATGTAGGTCCAATTGGTTTGACTGGTATTCAAGGTGTAAAAGGAGAAAAGGTTATCTCGTTGTTTGTAATCTATTTCTCAATGACAATATGTTTTTTGACTTGATTTTATTAGGGAGAAGTTGGTCAAAAAGGTGATATTGGTATTCAAGGAATACAAGGCATACAGGTTTCGTTGTATTCTTTTGTAATAGTGATGAAACACTGCTTTTGTTTTGGTTCTTTTTTTTCTTTTAGGGTCCGATTGGTCTCACTGGTGTTATTGGATTAACGGGTCCAAAAGGTAGCAAAGGTAATCAAGGACAAAAAGGTGATACAGGAGCTCGTGGAGAGACTGGACAACAAGTATGTAAATAGTTTCAATCGTTTAATACTATGATATATACTATTTATTTTTTATATTTATAGGGTATTCAAGGAATTTCAGGACTACCAGGTATTCAAGGTGAAACAGGTCCAATAGGACCTAAAGGCGATCAAGGTAGAATTTTATTATTGCACAATAAATCTTAGAAACATTTTTTTTTCTTATGCTGTTTTAGGTGAGAAAGGAGACAAAGGAATTATTGGACCACAAGGTCCTCAGGTAAGATTCGTTTTAAGCAATCAAAAGATTAATAATAAATGTTTCGAAAAGGGACAACAAGGTCCAATTGGATTCACCGGTGATAAAGGTGATCAAGGCATAATTGGTCCTATTGGCGAAAAAGGTTCGTGTTATAATGCAAAATTAGACAGATAATTAATAATAAAAAATTATTTAGGCGATCGTGGTGAAAAAGGCGATCAAGTGAATATTCAAAAAAATTTAAAAAAATATTCATTCACTTTGTTTTTTGATGATAGGGACTTAAAGGTGAACAAGGTATTATTGGTCCCATAGGAATAACTGGAGAAAAGGTTCAATATTTTAAATAAAATTATGTTGAATGAATATGTTTCCTTTTATAGGGTGAACAAGGTCCAGTAGGTCCAATAGGAGTCGATGGACCTCAGGGAGAAAGAGGTAAGAAAAAAAAAGAAACGTTTTATATTTTTCTGTAGTATTAGTATATGAAAAAAAAATCTTTGATTTTGTACAGGAGATAAAGGTGATACTGGACTAAAAGGAATTCAAGGTGAAATTGGACCACAAGTAAATTTATTCATTTTTAAAACCATCACAAATTTAATATCATTGTAAAATTTAGGGATTCAAAGGTGATACTGGTAAAAAAGGAGACACAGGACCAATTGGACCAAAAGGCGGTACTGTCAAATTATCATTGTATGACTTGATAATAATGATATATACATATTAATTTTAGATAAAGGAGAGATCGGAATTATAGGATTACAAGGTGAAAAAGGTGATACAGTGAGTAATTATAAAAAGCAGGTCTTGACACTGTTATCTAATTTTTTTTTCATTGTTAGGGTCCAATTGGCATAATTGGACCGACAGGACCTATTGGAGAAACTGGACCAAAAGGTGAACAAGGTGAAAAAGGTGACAAAGGTGATGATGGAATTAAAGGTCAAAATGTAAGTATGAATAATCATATTATGATTTCATATCTATTTAACTTGATATATTTCTTAGGGAGAGAAAGGTATCGAAGGTATACAAGGTCCTCGTGGAGAAACCGGTGAAAAAGGAGATACTGGTGAAGTAAGTTAACTTACTTTAACATTTACATAATCAACTCAACAATTAAGTTTTTTCTTTAGGTAGGTGAAATTGGTCCAAAAGGTGAAATAGGTTAGTTCAATTCAAGAATTCATTTTTAAACAAAAACAAAAACAAAAAGCTTTGCATAAAAAATAAATTCTATTGTTTTTAGGAGAAAAAGGTGATCAAGGTTTACAAGGACCTGTAGGACCACAAGGTTCTCAAGGTGAACAAGTAAGTAAAAGTAATTTATAATTGTAAATTAAAACAGAATATTCTTTTTTTAAATTTTATACTTTTTAGTTGTTACTTCTGTTTAAAACTTTGCAATAAAGAGTTCAATTTAATGTGTTTAATATTTTGTTTTAGGGACCACAAGGAATCAAAGGTTCAACAGGTTCACAAGGTCCAAAAGGTGATCAAGGTATTACGGGTCCAACTGGAAAACAAGGACCAAAAGGAGCCACTGGCCCTGTGGTGAGTCTATGCTCTATCTTAATAAAAAAGAAAAAGAAAAACTCGCATATCAAAAGATAATTATATATATTTTTGATCTTCAGACTCTCATAATTATTCAAACGTTTGCTCAATATGAACAAATTGAGACTTGAACTTGATTTCATTATACAATGAGTTATACAATATAGAAAAATAAAATATTACGAATAAGCGTTTATTTTGCATTTTATTATGAATTTAATTGATTGAGACTATTAATATATTGAAAATTTTCTTGTAAATCCTATTTATCTATAAGATCTTATGATGAATAAAATAAATGCAATTGTTGATTGTTTATCGTCGTATTAAATCTTGGATATTTATGATAAGAACATGCACACACGTTGAAACATGGAGATCATCTTGCTCTATCATTGTATCATTACATAATGGACATGACATCAATCTATTCGTATGCATCAACATGTAAAATCAATAGTTTTGAGTTATACGTGACATTGGATTCATATAGGTTATCGTGTATGATTGTAATAGTAAAATAATTAAAAAGAAGATTAATAACCTGAAGATTTTCAATAACATCAACAAAAATAATTGAAATATTTACTTCTTTTTTTTTTTTTTAGGGTGAACGAGGACTTCAAGGACAAAGTAAGTTATTTATTTGAATCAAAAATAAAATAATTTAATAATGTGTCGTTTTTATTTATGTTTTTAGAAGGAGAAGTTGGCTCAAGAGGACTAAAAGGAAATACTGGACCTGCAGGTCCACCGGGACCAAGCGGTATGTGACATTTATGAAATATATATATATCTTGATTTTTATTGCTTATTACTAATTATAGGAGAAAGAGGTCCAAAAGGTGACCGAGGACCACGTGGAGATCCAGTAAGTCTTATTTAAAATAAATATTCATTTGATTATACCATTTATAACAAAAAAAAAAAGGGAGAACCTGGTGATCGAGGACCACAAGTAAGCGAATTCAAATTCAAATTAATATGACAAAATTTTCATCTATTTTTTAAATATAATCATAGGGACCTCCAGGAACAAATGGTCAACCTGGAAAGTAAAGAATAAATTTTCTTTGAAAATATTTTTTTATTCTATTTGACATATCATATTTTCTTGTTTAGTGCTGGACCACCTGGACCACCGGTAAAGACTTTGAGCATCTATTAAGTTTCTTTTCTTTTTGACTGATAAATATTGATTATTTATTTTTAAGGGTGTAGTTGGTATACAAGGAGCAAAAGGTAAATTATTCTTATTTTAAACTTAAAATAATCATTTTTCTTTCCTATCTAGGAACGGATGGATCACGAGGAGCCAAAGGTGATAAAGGTTCAACAGTATGTATAAACATAAACCTATTCAATCCCATTAATTTTTATCTAACTTTGTTGTTTTCTTTTTATCTAGGGTCCACCGGGTCCACCAGTATATTTTCATCAATTGTTAATAAACATAATACGATTTCTTTGATATCTAGGGTCCACCTGCTGATACTCTATTATCAAGTGATCTTGCTTCAGGTGAACATCATTCCAAAAAAGTTCAATGGCCTCCTCATAGATTACGTCGTTCAATAATACCAGTTGAAGAAAATATTCAATTAAATTCTATTGCATTTCAATTACTTCATATATTAGATAATATGGCAAATCAATTGAATCAAATTGAATCACCAATAGGTCTTCAACGTGATAATCCATTTCAATCATGTCTTGATCTTCATGATCAATCAAAAATAGGTAAAAACAAAAATTTTTTGTATCAATTTTAAAAATAAAATTCTTGAATTATTAAGGAAAATATTGGATTGATCCAAATCATGGAAGTACATTAGATGCTATTGAAGTTAATTGTATTATTGAAAGTGGTAGAAAAAAAACTTGTTTACAACCAAATGACGATCAACAAAAACAAGTGAAAAAAATTTCTTTCTAACTAAGGAACTTTTCTAACTTGAAAATTGCTTTTGAATTTCAACTCTGTAATTGAATATCTGTGTAGTGAAGACCTGGGAGTTCTTGTCCTTTTTCGAATTTTTAATACTTCATTTGAGTCTACCTTATCGATACAGTCCGAACTCAAAATTGATTTTCAAATTGAGAACATTCTCTCGTAAAATTTCTTAATCTCTAATGATTCTTTAGATTAATTATGGACCGATATCTCAAATACGTTTTTTACAAATTCTTTATAATCAAATCGAACAAAATTTAACTTATGAATGTAATAATGAACTTCAAACAAATATTACATTTGTATCTCTTGATGATATTCATTATAATATTAATCAATTATCAAATGTAATTATATATGATGAATGTCAGGTAAATATTATTTTAAAATAAAATCCGTTTTAGATTTATTTATTATAGAATAAACAACAAGGATCAATCAAATATGTTATTAATACATCTGATACACATCTATTACCTATTATTGGTATTATATCATTAATTAAAAATATACGTCTTAGTCAAGTGTGTTTTTTTTGAATCAATTGATTTGCATTCCGTTTGAAAGAAAGAAAAAAAAGCAGTTTGAATTTTTTCTTAATAAATAAAAACAAAAAAAAAAAAATAAACAATCAAAAAAAATAATTAATTTTCAAAGGAAACAAATTAACAGAAATATTTTATATTTTAACTGAAATTAAAAAAAAATAATCAAATGTATAATATAAGTTATTAGTCCAATAAATGTTATCATCATTAAATTGATAATAAATATCACAAGAGAAAATCATGCACATGTTAATATAGTTAAATCTAATGCATTAAAGCATAATGGCTTTTCCTAAAGGTAAAACGGATGTATGCTAATAAAAGTAAATAATACAATAAAAAGTAATGTTTGTATGAATGTTAAAAGAATAAATACTCGTTGATTATGTCCGTTACGTTAAAAGCATATAATACACTCCGTGAACAGATGTTTAACGATTTGATTTAAGTTATTTAAGGGTCTCCCTAAAAAAAAAAGTCACTTTTCGCCAGGAACATCGACATTGAGATAAATGCATAGGAAGATAGCCTGTGATCTAATGTTTCATAAATGACAAGATTTTTTTCTCGATACTTCGTCTTTTCCAAAAAATTTTTGAAGATTTTTATTATCCCCTATTCAAAAAATAAGCTGTTTTCAGAAAAAACAGAAAATCTTTTTTCTTTTTTTCTCCATTTATAGTTTTTTGATCACGCAATCCAAATTTCCCTGGCGATACTCATTCTATACATTTAATTCTTTTTTCGTTTGAAACAGCGCGCCAAGACGCAGTGCAGTACAGAGTCCTGTTTTTTTGATTAAGCTTTACTTTTACTATATATACAAACATTTATATAACTTGAGTGCCATTTTTAGAATTTTTGAGTCATTGAATTTTCGATCCCTTTTCTTTCCTTAAGAAAGTAAGAATTTAAAAAAACAAAGGCCCGTGTACTGCACTACATCCTGACATGGTCTTTCAAACAAAAAACAAAAATAAAGACATAGAATGAACCTGGACAGAGAGATTTTGTTTGTAAAATGAGCTATTTTTGATCCTTGTTTGGTCAATATCTTCCTCAAACGTTATGATATCGGGCTAAAAATTCTATCATAGTTTATCCACTACAGTCTCAACATATTCTCAAAAATTTCATGCGATTTAAACATTCCTGAGCTGAGATCAATTTTTCAAGGCGAGCCTTAAGAAAATATAATATGTGTTCAATCAACTGCTGCTTCTTCTATTAGCATAGTATATGATCATTCATTGTTTGTTATACAATTATTTATGTAAACTATAGCTTAATTAAATCGAATAGCCCATCAATCGTACTCTATTTAATAAGCTTGATCACTTAAATTTATTTAGACAAGTAATAATAATGAAATAAGAAATCGAGAATTATTAATAAATCTCATCAACTAATACAATCACAAATAGCTGCAAGAATAATATAAATTAATACAACTGCTTTCAATCATTTTGAAGCTATTCTGTATTACAAGTTCTTTTACTTGTTAGTAAACTTGTATTAACAATACCATATACACAAACGAAATAACGTTGTATTATAAGATCTTGGAAGAGAAAATAACTAATTATAGTAATTGCCATTCAAAACTATAACAATAGAAAAAGAAGAATTCATCAATCAAATGTTTGTCTCTTTTATTATTATTCACAAAGAGATCTCTTGAGCTTAATTTTCTCAATGAAATATTTACTAATTTCATTTTTCAATCGAATTGATCTTATACACAATATGTTATTTATAAGTTTTTGTTAATTTTATAGATCATTTCTTTTTGTATTAGTAATTTTTAGATTTTTGATTAGTATAGTTTATATTCGATTGAGAAAGAAAAACCAATGGTTTTTTTTTTCATTCGTCTTTTATCCTTATTCACTAATACATTGATGTCATATTTGTCTTTAATTTGTTATTACTTATTCTAATGCATAACTAGCAAAAAAAAACCAATGTTTACCATTGTGTCAAAGCTTATTGCACATTAATAAAATGCCTAGAATGTCAACGATGAAGAACATAAGTCGTCAAAAGAATAAGAAACTATTAATATGCATTAGAATAAAACTAACATCTTGACAAGTCGAACATATTATCATTCTCCGTTTTCTGGTTTTTATCATGTTGTATTTATGTGATTTAATATAATTTAAGAATTCTCATATGGAAGTAAACGCATATTTCTAGATTTTGTTAAGCTAATTTTCTCTTGCCTAATACTTTCATGTTCTTCCTGTCACAATCATCTCTTCTTAATGTCAATTTTTTTTTTCTGAAAATGATTGTTATGTTTTTTTTCTCTCTATGTTCTCGGTTCTCCATGTTAGACAGAAGAACAAGAACAACAATAAACAGCAAGGATAAGAGATTTCCAGATTATTCTCTTTGTCACTTTGCATCTGTAATCTGTGTTGACGCGTGATCAATTATCGCTTTGCTGCTTTCTGTTCTTGTCTATCAACAACAAGTGCGTCTGTCTGTTCTCGGTTTCGTCTATTCCATATGAAAAAGTCACATTATTAACGCTCACCATATTGCTGAGAGCGATCAAACATCCGGAATAAACGAATCCATTCCTTTTATCTGGTAATAAAAACATTTCTTTTTCTATGATGGAAAAAAGCTTTTATTTCCGTTTTTTTTTGAGCATATCTCATTTCTCTAGTTTTCTTTTCTTGTTTTCATCACAATTTCCTTAGGTTTTATAATAAAGATTGTGTTATGGGAAAATGGTATTTATAAAACAGACAAATATTCATGTCAATTGATATGAGTTCTCGTCGATACACAATTTCAACAATAACAACAGGTCGACCACGAAAACAACGTTGTTTACCAACTCCAATTAAACACATTTTGGAAGGTATCACACAATATGATAGTAAGTAGATATATGTGTGAATAATCATAATACTTGATTTGTTCAACTAGTCAACTATCTAATGAACTAAGCTATTAATTAATCAAACACCGAACAGAAAGATTGAACCTACTAATTTCTACGAGAACTTCTATATGTAAAAAAAGTGTAAACCTTTACTTTCAAAATAGAATAAACAAAAAAAAACGTATTAAAATCAACATAATGAATTGTGTATTTTTTTTAATGCAGAAAATTTACTGAGTATATTAATGAAAACCAATTCTTTTTTCGTAATGTTTTTCTTGTTCTATAATCATTGAAAAGTAATTTTGAGATTCTAGAACAAAAGAAACATTACGAAAAAAAAAGCTGGTTTTATTAAAATATTCAATGAATTTTCTTCATTAAAAAAATGCACAATTCATTAGCGATTCTTGTAGAAGTTAACAAGTTCAATCTAATCATATAAAAATATCACAAAAAAAAAAATTCTGCTGGATTTTAGAATTATTAATTCCCTATTCACATTGCTTAAATACAGAGATCGAATAAGAACTCATTAATTCAATACAGTACAAATCGATATATGACAAAACGAAGACGTATTCCTATCTTACAGTTTTTCTATAAACATAATTCTCGAGTAAAGCAAAATAGGAATTGTTTTGAAGTATATTTTTAGTTTTCATTTTGGATTATTATGACCTATGTTTTATTTATTCATTGAGAAGATTTGTAAATATTGAATAATTAATTATTCATGAAATCAAATAATATCAGGAGAATTTCTTTATCACAACTGAATTTATCTAATAAATAATACTGAAGCATTGTTAAGAGATTTTTCTACCATCAAAAACAACAACAGAATAAAAGAATATTTCATATTGAATTGTTTCTATTCTAGAATACTTAATATATTTCATATAGATTAGACAAAAAACAAAACAAAATAAACAAATGCTAATATATTAAAATAATCAGAAGAAATTTTCGAAATATATCAAATATTGATTGAAAAAGATGTATCAAACAATTCTTAATTGTGATTTCTATTTCATAAACCATTGTTTTCAATGAAATTAGAATGAATAAATCTATTTAAGAATTTTTATATATCGTACAGAGATAGTATATATATTAATGTTTTGTTTGTCATTATATGAGGAAATTTGATTAGAAACTATAAACCTTGAACTATATTCTTTGATCATACCCATTAATATTGAAGTTGATCTTGTCTAGATTTTAATTTGATATTTTTCAATTATAACCAAAACAGAAAATATCAAAAACTCAAATTCTAATTGACTACAAATCTTATTCTTACTGTTTTATTGTATACATGCGCTGAGCTTATATTCTATTTATCAATACTTTAAAAATCTCCTATCTAGAATTGACAAGAATTTCAAATTTTGTTTTTTTTTTATACTTTTGACGAAAGTTGCGATTATCATTGTAAGTTAAGAACAATAATACAAAAGTTTTGCAAGTATTTTCATAGAATTATTGAGAATTTTCTTTTGTTTTATTTTCTTTTTATCAAGCTCCTAAAGTGGTACGTTTTGAATCGAAATGGATTGCAACTATATCTTTATTTGTTAAATTATCACTTGCTATTAGTTGTATATATTTAATGTGTCAACGACATTCATATCAAATATTTGATCGTTCACCTATATCAGTTGTAACAATTAAAGTAAAACCAGCACAAGATTGTGTAATTAATTCATCTATAATGTATTATTTTCCAAATTATAATTGTGAACAATCAATATATGATGTAAATGATTTTATTACACCAGCAACAGAAAATTCTGCTATATCAATAACAATTCGTATGGTAGAAATGGAACATGTATTAAAATACTGTTATAATAGAACAATAAGAAAAAATTCAAAAAAAATTAATTCATCATTTCAAATAACATCAATACATAAATGTTATGAAAAAACACGTTGTATTTTACCACCATTATATCGTTATGAATATGAAAATGAAAAACTTATTAAAAAACCACAATTATGTTGGTTTAAATTACCAACAACAACTGTTAAAAGAAATTATCGTGCACTTAATTATATTTTATTTATAAAACATTTTGTTGAATTTCCACAACTTCATCTTATACGAGATAATCTTATAACAAATTTAGGAAAAGAAAACTATATTGAAACATGTGAATATCATCCAACATATCATCCATTATGTCCAAAATTTCGTATATTAAAAATTTTAGAAATGATTGAAACAAATCCAGCAGAATATGGAGCTATGTTTTTTTATGGTTCATTAATTGAAATAAAAATAAATTGGAAATGTAATCTTGATAAACCTTTAGAATATTGTCGACCATATTATGAATTTCAACGTTTAGATATACATCCATATGATGAAAATCCTTATGATCCTGGTTCAAATTTTCTTACAGCAAGATATTTTTTTCGACCAAATGAAAGTGAATTACATCGTATACATACAAAAATATATAATTTACATATAGTTGTTTCTGTAACAGGTGAAGTTGGACGATTTGATTTATTTCAAACAACAACAAGTATTGGTTCATTTCTTGGTATATTTGGTACAGGAACAATTGTTTGTGATTTTATAGCTGCGTTTTTTACAAATTTTAAAACTGTCAAATATGATATTTGATTATATTCCAGGATATATGTATTCATGCATATATATATATATTTATTTATTTTTCTCAGGAAACAGAAAAAAAAAAAGATTTGTTTTATGTTTTCTTTTTTTTATTTTATACAATAACAAAATTATCTAGTTAACAATGATGAATAGATTGCTGAAAGAGCTTCTTGAAAATCATGATTATTTTGAAATGAAATAAGTTCATTTGATGATTGAAGTTTTTCACGTGATGGAATTATATTATATTTATCAAGATTTTCATCTAAATTATTTTTCAATAAATAAATAATAGAAAAAAAAAATATATATATATATATATTAATATATAAAAACTTACGCTTAATATAATCAAATAATTGACTAAGAAGTGTTTTAGCATTACATGATAATGGATCTACTGAATTACTTATTGGTTTAAGAGGATCAACTAGAATTGCTTGAGAAAATATAAATAAACGAAGTTGATCAAAATCTGGATTAGTCTAAAAAGGAAGAATAAAAAAACATTTTCATTAGATCATGTTTTATGATAGATAAATCCGTATTAATCTTTTTTTTTTGTCGGATAAAAACAATCACTTATGTTTTTTACGTGACTCAAATTAATTCGAATTCAAGGAATTGGTTTATGAGTAGATTAATGTCAGACATGGACCAAATTTTTGTGACCCGATCCGAATTGAAATCTGATATCGATGACTTTTCTTTTTCTCAATCCGTTTTTTCTTTTCTTTTACCTTATGGTTGGGAACAAAAAGATTATGTCCTTGATATTTCACCATTGGGATAATATGATTATGTGATAGACTATTCATCGTTATTCGATGTCAATAAAGAAAAGTCAATCAAGTAGAAGAAAATAGCGTGCGATAAATAACATCTTGTTTTAATAGGCATTTCGATGCACTCTTACAGAATTTTTAAATGGTAAATGTCATTTTTATCTGCAAAATATTCTGCTGCAAATTCATCCCGAAAATCAAAAATTTTTTTGTAATTTGAAAAAAATTGTTCATTTAATGACATCATCTGTTATTGTTTCTCATTTTATAGATTACCCAAAATCTCTTACGATTGAGTCAAAAAATGTACAGTAACGGTCTTGTGCATATCGAAGGTCATTGTACGAGAGTCACGATTGATCCGGCTCAATTGAAGGTCTCAAACTTTTGATAATATCTTCATATAGACTTAAGTGAATAGTCTTGAGAAAAAAAAATTTGAGCGAATTTAATCTCACTAATCTGAAGAAAGATTATTTACATGACAAAGTGCTTACGGTCTGTCCCATAAATTTTCGTAATAGACTTCCTTCAGATCAGTAGGTTGAAATGGGTCTAAACTTTTTTCTCATTCATGACTTTCGTATCATGATTCATTTCAACTGTTTTCGAAGAAGTTTGGAAACTACATAACCGCTGAGGATAAGCACAGGGAGTCAGAATTAACAACAGTTCGAAATTTTTGCACACAAGATGTAAAACGTGGTGGCAACTAGTCCACCGTAGTCCCTCACATATCGAAACGTATGTCTTTCTAATAGAATAAATTTCACGCGAATATAGAATTTTTATTGTACATTCTTCTATTGTGATAGGTTATGTTTCTCGTGAAATGATTCCTAAGCTTTCATCAACACAATTAAAAGTGTGAAGTTTATTTTAAATAGTAACTCATTAGACTAAATTATATAAGACGAAAAAAGAAAACAATTTAGAAAACTTCATATGAAATGATTGAACTCAACGATTCATATCAATGCTAATGGAACAAAATCAAAATAGATCTGTAGATATGTACTGAAACTATGTGACTTATCATATTAGAATATTCTATTTATTTCGACTCATACATTCAAAATGATATATATATATATATATTTAAAAAATATTTGTCGATAATTATGAGATAACTCAAATTATTTCTTACCTCCATTTGAGAAAGTATTTTCAAAGCACTACAATAACGTTGTAATAATGATTGTGATGTATTTTTCTTTAATATTAAATTCTAAAATAAATCAATTTCAATTAAAAAATTTTTCAATTGCAAACGCATTAACCTTAATCATATCTTTTGCACTAATAAGTGGTTGTTTTAATCGTTCACTTTCATCAAGCTAAAAAGTGACAAAAAAAAAAACAAACTAATATTCATATTAATTAATAACTATTAATTTCTTATTACATTTGATAAAAGATCAAGTCTTTGTTGACAAAGATTTTCTTCATTTTCAATAAAACGTAAACGTAATTTAATAGCTTCAGCATTTCGTATTTCATTATGACTACTTGCTAATAATGCAAATTTACTAATAGCCAAAAGAGTCTATTTATAAAACAAATGAATAAATAAATAAATATGAATAAATATCTTACTTGACGTTTACCAATTGTTTCAGCAACTTGTTGTAATGATGATAAAGAAGCCTAAACATTAAAAATAATTAATTAAATTTCTAAAAAAAGCAAAAAAAAAATTTTTTTTTCTTGTTTTTTTACATGTTCATAATCTCGATTTTTGATATCAACCATCCAAGCAAATTCTGGTTTAGATTTTAAATAACGTTGAACAGATTTTAAATCAAAATATTCTTTTTGAAATAAAACTGATAATGCTGATTTTGATCTTAAATATTCATCAAATATAATCATAAACTAAAAAGATAAAAATTATATTATTGAAAATTTTTATTTACAAAAAAAATATTTACTTTATCTCCATATTGTTCAATATACATTCGTAATTGTTCAATATCTTTTAATTCATCACATATTTCAATTAATGATTGATAATCTTCAAATTCTTCAGCTAATTGTTTACCTTTAGAAAAATCTTTTAATTTAACTAGAGAAAAAAAAACAATCATAAATTTCAATTCAAAAAAAAGAAATATATATTTACTAAATATTTTTATTAATAAACTTCGTGTTTGTTTATAATTAATCCATGGTCTTTGTTCCATATCATTATTTAATTCATTATCTGAATAAAGATCACATATATAAAGTCGATATTCATCAAGAATATGATAGACAAGACGTGATATCATTGTTAATAAACGTTCACGTACTTCACGTGATTCACATAATTCTAATGCTTGTTCAAAATGTTGAGTACACTAAACAAAAACAAAAAAAACAAAATTTTATTTTTCGGAGAAGATAATCGCATATTCTTTGATACAATAATCATGAATGTCACCTTTATGATCTCTATACTTTATAAAATATTGAACGCAATAAAAATACTTTAGTTTTTATCTAACTACTTTCAATCTTTCAGTAGTCGCAAGAAGTTTTGCTATTGAATAAAAAGTACATCAAATTCAATTCTTTTGTTTTATAGTTTGATTAAAAATAGAGCTGAATAAATTCTAATGGCAAGCAACAACTCGAGTTCGATAGATCTTAATGGAAAGACTTTACGATGAAAAAAGATTGGCTTTTTCCCTAGAGCCCAAAAACAGACTTTTTTTGACACCTTTCTGGTTTTCAACTATTTAAATGCGTTAACCTTCATTTTCTTATTAAATAAGTAAAAGTTCGCATGTCTATATGGTATTACAGATAGGGTACTTCAATCCAGCGTAATTTTGAGGTGGAAGGAAAGCCTCCATTATCTAGGATGATGTCAGCATAAATCTCTTCTCTATCGATGACTTTAATCACAAAATTTTCAAGAAAACCTTGATTAGAGTAGGACACTCGTTGGAGAAAATTACAAGATAAATGATTAAAATTAGTCAGAGATATCCGTCACTTTTCGAAAATGCCCATCAACTCTCATGTGGAGATTATTTCATTAATAAGGCAAATTAAAACCATTTTCCATGATATTTTTATTGGTGATAGAGGCATCAATGAGCTGTCAAATGAAGGGTCTCACGTCATAAGATTGGTTCTCTATGTTGAGATATCCATGCCTAAAGAAAAAAAATCTAGATTGACTTTCTAGCTCCTCCACATTATGACCAAACTATGTGACTAAAAGTTTGTTTTTTTTTCGTTTTGCTCTGTATATATATGATTCGAAGTGTTCTTTATCTACTGGACATATTTCAAGAATTAATATACAATTTTAAAGGTCAAAAACTGTACAGCGATGAAACATTTAAAAACAATTGGAAAATCGCCTTCCTTTTTTCAAGCACGATATATTCAATTATATAGAAACATTTTTCTACTAACACCAGAAAGATTTTAAGATACTTAATGTTTATTTTATTTGAAAATATGATGTATCGATAGTTTTTGCCAGGGTTGTCAGAAATGATCTAGTCGATAACACGTGCATTTGTTTAGAGTACTTGAAGTATTTTGATGTTTTTATTTTGATAAAGAATAAAAAGGAAACCACCAAAAATAGACAGTTCAAACAGTGTCTACTATCTGTAAAAAAAGAAACTTTTACCTCTATGAAATGTATTGCGGTTAATAAAGGTAGATGATAAGGAGCGGAGTCATTTTTAGCTCTTGCGACCCAGGTATCTTTTATCTACTCGAAAAATTTTAATCTTTTTCTTTTCATGAGCCGTCCTTCAAAAACTTCAGAAATGGTAGAGAGTCTCTTAACAATGTTCTTGATTATGAGAGAACTGATAGCGTCCGCATGTTTATCTTTAACGCGACATAACCATTACATTTCACAAAAAAGTAAAACTATTATTTACATGAAGCATATATAAATCATTAAGATTGTGTTCATATAAAATCCATGGTTGACAAATCATTGATTGTGAAAAATCTTCATCATCAATTGGATTTGATGATATAGCTGATTCTTGTTCATGTTCTTGACGATATTTTTGTATACTATCAAATGCAATTAATAATAAACGTGTTGCTTCTTCATAAGATTGAATTTCAATTGTACGACTTGCTTCAATAACACCAAGAACAATTGTTGTTATTACTTCAGATATATGAGAAATCTAAAGATTTATTATTTTTAAAAGTATTTTATTTATGTTTTTGAATATATTTACTTGATTATATCGAGAT